TCCAGGAGGTGACAACAAAAAGAAAGTAAGGGAGACATTTGAATGGTTTGGCATTGTGAGACTGTATAAACAACACCTTTTCTTGGAGTGTTGCTGGCAATTCCATAAAATGGCAAAATAATTTTTTTTAATTATTTTTTTCAGTTACAATTGACATACAATATTATTTTATATTAGTTTCAGGTGTACCAGCATAGTGGTTAGACATTTATATAATTTATGCAGTGATCCCCCTGGATTAGTCTAGCACCCACCTGGCACTATACATAGCTGTTGAAACATTATTGACTATATTCCCTGTGCTGTACTTTATATCCCTGTGACTGTTTTGTAACTTCCAATTTGTACTCCTTAATCCTTTCACCTTTTTCATCCAGTCCCCCAACCCCCCACCCTCTGACAACAGTTTGTATCTATTAGTCTATTGTGGTTTTGATTGTTTGTTTATTTTGTTCTTTAGATTCCACATATAAGTGAGATCATACTGTATTTGTCTTTCTCAGTCTGACTTATTTCACTTAGCATAATACCCTCTAGGTTCATCCATATTGTTCCAAATAGTAAGATTTCATTCTTTTTTATGGCTGAGCAATACTCCTTTGTCTCTACGGACCACATTTTTTGTATCCAGTCGTCTATTGATGGGCACTTGGGTTGCTATCATATCTTGGCTATTGTAAATAGTGCTGCAGTGAACATAGGAGTTCATATATCTTTTCAAATTAGTGTTTGGATTTCTTCAGATAAATACCCAGAAGTGGAATTGCTGGGCCATAAAGTAGTTCTATTTTGAGGAACCTCCATACTGTTATCCATTGCGGCTGCACCAATTTGCAACCCCACCAACAGTGCACCAGGATTTCCTTTTCTCCACCTCCTCACCGCCAGCACTTGTTGTGTGTTGATTTATTGATGATAGCCATTCTGACAGGTGGGAGGTGGTATCTCATTATGATTTTAATTTGCATTTCTCTGATGATTAGTGATGTTGAGCAGCTTTTCATGTGTCTATTGGCCGTTTGTATGTCCTCTTCGGAGAAATGTCAATTGAGGTTCTCTGCCCACTTTTTAATTGGAGTGTTTGGTTTTTTTCAGTGTTGAGTTATATGAGTTCTTTATAAATTTTGGATATTAACCCCTTATCAGATGTATCATTGGTGAATATTTTTTCCCATTCAATAGGTTTTTTTACATTTTGTTGGTGACTTCTTTTGCTGTGCAAAAATGTTTTAGTTTGATGTAGTCCCATTTGTTTATTTCTTTGTTTCCCTTGCCCAAGGAGATATGGCAGAAAAAAATATTACTAAGAGCAATGTCAGAGAGTTTACTGCCTATGTGTTCTTCGAGGAGTTTTATTGTTTCAGGTCTTACATTTAAGTCTTTAATCCATTTTGAGTTTATTCTTGTATATGGTATAAAAAGGTGGTCCAGTTTTATTTTTTTTTTCATGTATCTGTCCAGTTTTTCCAGCACCATTTATTGAATAGACTTTCTTTACCCCAGTGTGTATTCTTGCTTCCTTTGTCATAGATTAAATGACCATATAGGTGTGGGGGTTTTTCTGGGCTCTCTATTCAAACAGCAAATAAGTTTTATCCTTCACAGAAAAGAATGGTTAATTGACCAATAGGTTACAATTTTTTTCATCTCATAATTGTTTTCAAATTGTTTTCATTGTCATTTTATAGAAGGAGTCAAAAGAGATTAATGTATTTATTTATCTACTGTTTTTACTGAGCTATTTCCAAAAAGAATGTGATTAAATCCATATAAATAAATTTATCAAACCATACATTGAACAGATTTTTTCCCCCATTAGTTAGAAAGAGAGATAAGAAGAAACAGACTACAGCCGGCCGAGTGGCGCGTTGGTTAAGAGCTGGCTTGGGATGCCAGAGGGCCCCGGTTCAGATCCCACATATGAGGGTCAGTGACACTGCCCTCTACAGCTAAGATGCTGAATAACAGCTCAACCTCGAGCTGGGCTGCCGTGAGTCGCCTGAGATGTAGGCTGCAGCCCCTGCTGCAGTGGGTTGCCATGGGCTGCTGCGTGTAGCCAGCAGCCAGTGTGAGTGGCCAGCAGCTGCTGTGAGCAGCCATCCAGAAGCTGGCAACTGATCTGCCTTGCCCGGGAAGAACACAATGATGGTGCCAACTTGGGCCAGTGAAGCAACGTCCTCCACAACTAGACTGAAGAACAAAAAGGATAGCAACTTCTCTGTTCCCCTTCCCCCAATTCCCCAGCGCTGTTCCTCTCCCCCAATTCCCCAATGAAAAATCTTTAAAAAAAAAAGAAGAAACAGACTATATGAGAAAGTGAGCTAATTCTACTATCTTCTTAGGTAAGGTGGTTATTGTACTTGAGTTTTAAATTTAACTCTGGATTCCAAGGAAAGCTGAGAAACATGATGTGTTATATACTTTCACTCATTTCATAAAACAAAGCGTAATTTCTTCACAATCGTGCATTGCAGTGCAGTTTGTATTTATGCCAGGCCTGAGTTGGATTGCTTAATCATCTAAATAATTGTGTGTCCAGATTTCTATAGATATCTCCTATAAATGTGTTATGTTTTCAAATATTCCCATTTTGTACAACTCCCAGTTTAAATATGATCAATATAGTATGTGACATATTTTCAATATTCTTTATTTTTTGTCTTTTAAAAAAGTATTTATTTATTTTCAATTGCAGTTGACATTCAATATTATTTTATATTAATTTCAGGTATACAGCATAGTGATTAGACACTTATAGAATTTATGAAGTGATCCCCCTGGATTAGTCTAGTACTCACCTAGCACTATATATAGTTATTACACTATTATTGACTGTATTCCCTATGCTGTATTTTACATCCCCATGACTATTTTGTAACTACCAATTTGTATTTCTTAACCCCATCACCCTTTTCACCCAGGACACCAGCTCCCTCCCATCTAGCAATGATCAGCTTGTTCTCTGTATCTCTGAGTCTATTTATGTTTTGTTTGTTTGTTTATTCTGTTCTTTACATTCCACATATAAGTGAGATCATATGGATTTGTCTTTCTTAGTCTGACTTATTTTACTTAGCACAATATCCTCTACGTCCATCCACATTGTTGCAAATGATAAGATTTCATTCTTTTTTATGGCAGAGTAATATTCCATTGTATATATGTACCACTTCTTCTTTATCCAATCGCCTATTGATGGGCACTTAGGTTGCTTCCATATCTTGGCTACTGTAGATAGTGCTGCAGTGAACATAGAGGTGCATACAGCTATTCGAATTAGTGCTTTGGATTTTTTCAGATAAATACCCTGAAGTGGAATTGCTGGGTCATAATGTATTGGGCCTTCGGGAAAGTCATGACGCATTTTTGCATTGAAAAACATAGAAAAATACGTCATGACTTTCCCGACAACCCAATAGTTCTATTTTTTATTTTTTGAGGAACCTCCATACTGTTTTCCATAGTGGCTGCACCAATTTTCAATCCCACAACAGTGCACAAGGGTTTCCTTTTCTTTCTTTCTTTCTTTTTTTAAATTAAAGTTTATTGGGATGACAATTGTTAGCAAAGTTACATAGATTTAAGTTGTACAATTCTGTAATACATCATCTATATATCACATTGTGTGTTCACCACCCAGAGTTCTCTTTCCATCACCATGTATTTGATCCCCTTTACCCTCATCTACCACCTTCCCCCTTTACCCTCTGGTAACCACTAAACTATTGTCTGTGTCTGTGAGTTTTGTTTCTTCATTTGTTCTTCTTGTTCTTTTGTTGTTTTCAGCTTTATATACCATATATCAGTGAAATCATATGGTTCTCTACTTTTTCTGTCTGACTTATTTTGCTTAGCATTATAATCTCAAGATCCATCCATGTTGCACAATATTTCATTTTTTACTGGGCATTTTATCAGATACCACCTAACATTACAATGAGAGAAATTGTTGAAAGAGTGAAGTTGTATGACATGAAAAGAAAGTAATTTTGATTTGTATGCTAGATTTTGTTTTGACTTGCTGGGCCAATATATGGCAGCACCCTTCACCACTACCATCCCATTATTTTTTAAGCTTGTTTTTACTAACATTTTAAAAAATTGATACCATCTGGTAAAATAATGACAAAGGAAAAAAAGTAAAGAGAATTAATCTGTCCTTTACTTTTAATTATCTTAATGGTCATTTGGATCATAAAATCCAATCATCATACCATTTGTGATAATAGAAAGCTTTGGGGTGGTTTTTTTTGTTGTTTTTTTTGGGTTTTTTTCAATAAGTTTTTAAAAACATGGTTTTGATGATACACGATTCATTCAATTTACAAACATTTTGAGCTGCTTCCTCATGCAAACCATTGTGCTCACACTAGTGTGTTAGGGTAATGAAACAGATTATCTGCTCTAGAGAAGATCTCAGGGAGGACAGTCCCATAAATGTTAGACTAGAATCTGATTCATAATATAGGTATCTGCATTAAATGTAAGACTAATGAAGCCTTGTTGAATGATTTTAACTACATAAAGTAGGTACATATAAAATTCTTATATAAATGCTAAGCAAATGTATTTACCTTTAAAAATCTAACTTTCTATCTATATTCTCCTCTCTCTCTCTCTCTCTCTCTCTCTCTCTCTCTCTCTCTCTCTCTCTCTCCTCTCTTACTCTCTAGCTAAACCTGTACCACAGATATCTCTAAGGATGATTCAATTTTAGATCTTGTAAAGCAGCTGACAATTTGCCACACAATTACCCACTCTGTGCCTCAGAATCCTCCACTTCCAAATAAGAATTTGTTCTTAGAATCATTAATATAATTCTAATGAAATTATTTAGGCTCCTTGAAGAGAACTATACAGCAGCCAGGCAGAAATTTCTGTGGTTATTATTGTTTGCTGTTAACGAATTTAAGTGACTCACAATTATTTTAATATCATGCCAGCCATAAGTAGTACTGGGGTGTATTTTCAAAGTTCAAATATTGTTTTCTTTATTACAGGTTTCTTTTCTCCATGGAAAACTCCAAAACCTGTAAGTTGGAATTATTATGCTTCTTTATTTCTAGTTATTATTGCAATCCCATTAAGCAAGAGCTGAATTGAGTGACCTCAGAATCTCTCCTACCTCTGAGATTCTGTGATATCAAAACAAGCCTCCTGTGTCCCTTTGTCTTGTATTTGTCCCACAAATACAAAAATAATTCATCTTACTTTCTATAAAAGCAAAGCTGCCTGTGTTCCTAATACAAAATGAGCATTGATACTGTTCAGTATGATGTGCTAAAAATACTTTAGAAAACTTTCATTTTTTCCATGTTAGAAATACTATAGTATTGATAACATGAAATTTTTAGAAGCAATGCAAATTTATAGGCCCAGAGGTCTTAACCTGCAAATTAAATCTGGTCCATAAGAAATTTAGCTTTGTATATATTTATATGTGCATTTTAATACATACAGAGCTAAATATATATGTGTTTGTGAAAATATATATGGTTGTATATACACAAATATATATACATATGCATATATATATGTATCCCCCCACCCCCCATCAAACCTGACAATCACTCAAAGTGATGCTTCTGCATCTTCTTCAGATATTGGTGATCTCTGCCATCACCTAACCTCTCTGGGCCTAGTTCTTTTATGAATCATCCTGTAATTTTGGTACCAATACAGGAGGTGATGGATTTTAATAGTCTTTTTGTGAGGTTAGGTTAGCCAAGTTAGCTTTGCAATTAGAAATGATCTTTACTTGCCACTCGGTTGAAACCAATAGTTGCCCAAGTCCCAAGAGCTGGGACTGGTTTCGCAGAATCCTGTTTTATGGTGTATTAGAATACACTACCCCGACTGGAATGTGTAAAACCCATTACTAAAAGAGAGCTGTGGCAAAGTAGTTCAAGTCCAGAAAACTCAGGGAATCATGCTTTCTACCCGCTTCTTCTCTTTCCTCTGACAGTAAGCAGTTCAGACCCAAGTGCCTCTAGTCTGGCCAGGGTAGGGAATGTTGGGATTAGTTTTATGTTTTTCTAATTTCTTTTACTGAGGGAATCTTCAATTGCTTGATGTTCTCATTTTAGAAATGGAGATAATATACTTTTCAAGTGCAGTAAATGGGCTTTATTAAATAAAATGCCTTTAAAATGGTTTGAAGGTGTGAAAATAAAGTATTATTGAGCCCCACAATATACCTGAGCTCCAGGTTTCTCTCCAAGAGAGGTGAGTTAACCAGGAGCTGGAGATGAGGAGCTGAGGGTGTCAGGGCTACAGAACATTCTCACCAAGCATGTCCCCATTTAGGAGTTGGCTCATCTGGTCCACAGAGGATGCCAGATGGGAAAACCAGACCTGTTTGGGCTTAGTAAACCACTTAGTGATGATGTTACTTTGAAGAGAAGTATTTAAAAATGTTTAAAATGAAATTTGTTTTATCTTGACCAAAATCTGAGTAATTCTTCCCTTTCATCACCAAAGTTAAATCTGTGTTCTGTTGTTATACACACCTTTCTCTAATGTAAGAAGAAAACTTGCAACCTCATCATGGTGCCCCAATTATGCAATTTAGAGACTTCCTTATATGTACCACATTTACACAAATTATGCCATTTGACATAATTACAGCATTTGCTGTCATTAAAGTAATTACATCCTTAGTCAATAATTCCAAAAAAGGTTTTATAGAACTCAATTTACAATTAATCCTGAACCCATACGCCCCTCCAAAAGCGAGAGCTTGGACTTCCAGGTCCTTGGCTGAGTGAAGATAGATGACTATCTATTTCATGTCCTCCATGTAGCTATCAGAAACTCCTTAGAGTAGACGAAGGATGATAATAAGAGGCAGTGTGGTGTGTGGTTTAGGGTGCAAACACTGAAGCATACTTCGGGGGTTCACAGTTTGCTTCTAGCTTTGTGACCTTCAACTGTTGGGTTGTCGGAAAAGTCATGACATATTTTTCCTATGTTTTTCATTGCAAAAATGCATCATGACCTTTTCGACAACCCCATAGCTGCTAAAGCTTGCAGTACCTCAAGTTCTATATCTGTGAAATGGGGACAATAATAACACCCTCTCATGTGATTATTGTGAAAAGTCTGTGAGTGAATCCGTGTAAGTGGCTTAAAACAGTGCCTCTACATGTTGAGCTCAAAAATATAAACTGTCATCCTAGAAAGCACACCCTCTATGTATAAACCCTTAAAAAATGAATCACTCTATGGAATGAACATAGTTTGCTAGTCATTTAAACGAGTATATAAACATATGCCCACAGTGTATGAATTGATACACTCTCTCCTCTGAGGAGGACTGATGACATCCTCAGTCGGGAGAAGGAGATGTGATCCTGAGTGAGCCTTTCCTCCCCCGGCCCTATCACTTCTGACCCTCTCCTGTCCTACTGATCCACATTCTCAGTTAGTCCATGTCAAGAGAGTCACTTTCCATTCAACGAGTCATACACTAATTGTAGTGAGTTCTCATTGTCTCCATCTGGAAGGGATCCAAGTTCACTTTTCAAGTATAGAATCAAGCCAAATGCCTCCATCTCCCAGCCCTGCCCTAAAATAGTGAGTTGTGTGTTTAGACTACCCCTGCAATTATAGGAAGCAAACAACTTCTAGATCAAGTATTTCATGGGGCTGAGGGAGGGCCTGCCTTATTCACAAGCACTCTGTTCCCAGTATGCACCCCAGAATCAGAAGGTGGGGTTTAAATTATGGACCAGCCCAGTGGTGCAATTGTTAGGAGTTGGCTTGGGATGCCAGCTCTAAGCAGCAGGGCCCCGGTTCAGATCCCACATGAGGGCCAGTGATGCTGCGCCCTCTACAGCTAAGATGGTGAACAACAGCTCGACCTGGAGCTGGGCTGCCGTGAATCCCCGCTGACGGCGTAGGCAGCAGTGGGACTGGCCGGCAGCATGCGTGCGCTTTTGTGAGCTGCCGTGAGCAGTCATTCAATGGCCAACGAGTGACTGCCTCACTCAGGAAGAGCGCAATGATAATACCAACATGGGCCAGTGAAGCGGTGTCCTCCACAACTAGGCTGAAGAACAAAAGGACAGCAACTTGTCTGTTCCCCTTCTCCGATTCCCCAACACTGTTCCCTCCCCCAATTCCCCAATAAAATCTTTAAAAAAGAAAAAAAAAATTAACCACACCATGATTTGGTTTTTCTGTTTTACTGTTTGGTGCCCTGTTGTGGACTGTATGTCCACTCTGTCTACTGATATTTAGGTGACTGTCATTTCATACAGTCAGGCATTCATTCATTCATCAAGGTCAGCAGAGATACAAGGCTTCTCCCAGACCTAGAAAATGACTTCATTTCCATTTTTCCTTACTCTAGTGAGATACTCTAGTTTATAAATATTGGCCTAGATATGGACATCACTGGGGACTGGACAAGGCCCAGTCAGAAGCCTTGTTGAGAGGTAAATGCCTGGAAGGTAGCATGACTCAAGACAGTTCATGGCCATGAAGATACCAGGTGAAGCAAATTAGGCCCTTTGTCTAGGGGAGGGGACAGGATCAGAATCTAGGTGGTTCTCATAGTTGAGAGAAACAAGTGAGCCCTGAGAGTCCCAGCTGGAAAGCAAAAGTCCAGAGACCAGGTTGTCTAAGAAAGAAATGAGACATCCACAGAGGGCACCATTCAAAAGGTGCTGCTGTCAGATCAGCACCCCAGCCCCAGTGAGCAGCGGGTGACCTCTGAACCCCAAGGCAGTGGCTTGCTCCATGATCTTCCAGGTGGAAGCCAACAAATAACTCAATTTGGGAGATGGAAGTATAGGACTTTGGGTATGTTGTTTCAGTAATTTCAATGGCACAGTGATTTTCTGCTCTACAATCTTTTAAGAAACCCCAACAGCATGACTCGAGGGGTGATGAATGTCACAGTAAGATGTTGTGAATGCTTTACTAAGCGTGAACTGGACTCTTGACGAATTCTCCCATCTCTGTGCTAACAAAATTGTAGAATTTGTCAATCTGCCACAGAACCTTTCCAAAATAGAACTGAAAGCATTATTTGTTCTAGTTTTAAAAATGTGTTTTTAGAAATGCTCATATTTCACCTGAAGCATGTTTGCTCCAATGACTGTACACAAACAATACATATGCCAGCAAGACCTATGTGGGTATCAGATAAACCTCAGTGGAAGATGGGAGAAAGAGCTAGACATTTGCTGAAGCCCTACAATGACAAGTGGGCTACACAGCTACTCAGACCACGTTTCTGATTTATTTTCTTTTTACAACTTAATGTCTTATATTTGGACACAGAAAGAAGGGGGAAAGTCACAGCCAGAATGCATCCACATGGTAACTAAGTCAACGTGAAAAATAAAAAAGAATATGTCTTTACCCACAAATGTGGGTCTTCCCGTCATAGCCAGAACACCCAGAATGGATGACCAAAGGAACCCGGAATGGCTTTCTAGATGAATTTTGCTATCAAATGAATTATGAAGTGCATATCTAAAGATTTGTACTAAATGAGAGCAAAAGGCCCACTGAGCAGAAAATTAGCTAAAACTCTATGCAAATTTACCAGTTGTTCCCCTTAATGTATTATTATGTAAAACAGCATTCTGTTATATATGATTCTGGCCAGGGTCTGCCACTGACAGCTGCTGGATGGCTTTGCACTCATAGAGATTATGTTTAATATTAGGGAATAGAATTCGACTAGGGGTTTTCCATTCTTGGTAGCTATAGAACCTTTGTTCAAATGAAATCTTGGTGATAGTATATATAGAAAACAAATGAAAATGAAGCTACTTGACTTAGTCTCTTCAGATTACTACAACAAAATATCATAGACTGGATGGTTTATATATGGCAGAAATTTATTTCTCATGGTTCTGGAGGCTGGAAAGTCCAAAATCAAGGCACCTGCAGATTCAGTGTCTGGTGAGGGCCCTCTTTTTAGATGGCTGTCTTTTCTCTGTAACCTCACCTAGGAGGGAGCTCTCTGGGGCCTCCTTTATAAGGAGGGATTACATTAATGCCATTTGTGAAGGCTCCACCCTCATGACCCAATCACCTCCAAAGGCCCCACCTCCTAGTACCTTCACCTTGAGTGTTAGAATTTCAACATATGGATTTTGGGGAACACAAACATTCAGACTATAGCACCAATCTTATTAGAGAAGGGTCAATGACCCCTTTCTCTCCTAATTTGCTGGCTTACCCAACCACTGCTACAGTCTGAGGCAGGTGAGCAGGTCACAGGGAACTTTATGTTACATAGTAACTTGTACAGTACATGGTACCTCACATCCCCTCCAGCCTTACAATATTTATCATTGATAGGTGAGAGATGGCATCAAAGCCCTGACCAAAATATAGCCAGTATGTAAACAACAACAGGACAGTGCAGTAGGGAACAGAAAGTTATAGTTCGGCCAAGCTCAATAGTGGATATCATAACTGGTTTTAGAAAAAAAAGAACAGGTTTCATATTTTATTGATTCATTCACTCAATTCACATTTTCTGAGTACTTACTATGCATTGGTAATGCAACAATGAGAAAAACTGTGGCCTCTGTCTCCCACATGAACTGTTTGAGGAGACAGGAATAGACTTGTCATGCAGTTGACCTTTGATACATGGTGCAAGGGGTGGGTAGAGAGGGCCCTGGGAGCACCAAAAGGGGCATGTTAACAGATCAGGAAAGGGCAGCAAAGGTCTTTTAGAACAGCAGACATCTCATCTGAATCTAGCAGTCAGGTAAAATGAAGAAGGGAGATGGAAGAGCAGAAAGTGGGTAAACTTTGCAGATAGAAGGAGAAATTAAGAAAGTGTGTGGTGGTTCAGAGGCAGGAGAGACGCTGATGGGTGCTAGAGAATGGGAGAAGAGACCATCAGCGGATAGGAGAAAGCTGAAGAAAGGTGAGCAGAACCTGGGTTACGAGGAGCCATTTATGTCTCACTAGAAAGTCTGGCCTTTCTCCTGAGGACCGTGATGACCCAATGTAGAATTTTAAGCAGGAGAGTAACATAATGTAATTTTACACAAAGCAGGTTTATTCAAGCAGAAAAGTAGAGGGTGAGTTTGAATAGGAATCCGTTGATCATTGAGTGAAGGTGAAGTTGATGGTGCCAATAGGTGATCTCAGTAAACCAGGCTTTCTCCTTGATAAAAGTCCCTGCTTTATTGACCTCACAGGATCATGGTAAGGATCAAAGACGATACCGTATGTGAAAGGGCACGGAAAATTGGCAAGCGTCCTATAGATATTAAATAAATTATGGTGGTAGCAACAGCAGCAGCAGCAGCAGTATTTGGGGAAAGAAAACACCAGATCAGCAGTAAATGAGGCTTCACAGATGACTTTAAACAATTCATACATCCCACGTGGTTGTGTTATTACTTGAAAACTGTAAGGAAAGTGATTGAATGTTCAAGTATAGGAGATGGTTGGGATATGCATAGGAGTCCAACGAAGGTGTGCAGGCTACTTTATCTTCTGTTTCAGTTAAAATGATGTAATGTATTGGGACCATATTAGAAAAGGAATCATACCATATATTTCTAAGCACTTGTACATAAATCATCTTGAGATACTTATTATCTTTATTTTGTAGAAAAAAAAACAGACTCAGAGAAATTAAGTGATTTGCTGAAAATTACGAGCCTACAGGTGACAAGGTTATATGAGTTTGCATTCAAAGTTCAGGCACCACTTGTATTTATAACAGTCTATGATACTTTATTATATAGAAGTAGCATCTTTTCTCTCAAGGCAGTTATACCAAAGTTTTAAAACATTTCATGGAAGGAAAGTTTTCAGGGCAAGAAAGTCTTGCTTAGAGGTGAGTGTTGTAGTATGTGACAAAGGAAACAGCAAGAACAAATGTGTCATTCATTTTCTCTGTCCTTTGACTTTCCAGATAATGGACCGATGGGAGAATCAAGGCAGTCCGCAGACAAGTTTATCTGCTCCGGCCATCCCACAGAACCTGCCCTTCCCGCCCGCCCTTCACAGGAGTTCTTTTCCTGACTCAACAGAGGCCTTTGACCCAAGGAAGCCTGACCCATATGAGCTCTACGAGAAATCAAGAGCCATTTATGAAAGTAGGCGTAAGTGAAAGCCACATAAGACAAGAGTGCATGAATAATAGCTGAAGCCCTTTCAGGAGTTACAATATATTGAGGCTGAAATGATCTGGTGTGATTTTAATGTTCTTAGATTCAAAATATCTCAAAAGTAAAGCCAGTGATCTAAACTTTTTAACAAAAAAAAAAGTCAACTCTTTAAAAAGTTTATAACTTTGGGTTTTAAATTTTATTTTGGACTTTTTTTCCCTGAGGAAATGAGGAATGTATTTGGGAGGGGGGAGGGATGAAAGAGGTTGCTAGTTTTGTTTGTCACCAAATAATAATAAGAAATGCTTGAAATTTTTATGTTTAATCTGATCTTGAGTCAAAGCTTAGATTTTTCTTAGAGCCTTGAATGCAGGCACAGAATTTAGGGCCGTGAGTACATGTTAGCCAAGTCTTTCCAAATCACAATCACAAAAGCAGCGGTTCCAGAAGCAGCACAGAACCAGGTGCCAATCATTTGTACCCGGAACTTCTTCTCATTTAATGCAGTGGAGCCCATTTGAAAATTCAGGCATGAAATAAAATATCATGTATGCACTTGTCATCCTATTTGAAGGTCCTCTAAATTATTTCATTGTACTTTATAAATATTAGAAAACAGAAGTTTTTAATATTGCATATACATTCATTGTGCCTCTTTCCACCATCTAACAGGTCATCTCTTCCAAATGTTAGAGGACAGGAATCTGAATGGCATGAATGTGTAATCTAGGAGGGAAATGCATAGTGCAGTAGGACCCTGAGTAAGTGGATGAGAACCCTAGCCCAGTGAGAAGGGTTTGCTCCCTGGCCCTCCCGTTTCCGGTCTGCTGGTTTCCTCTGATTCTGTGTTCCCCCAATGCCTTCTTTCCAACTTTATCATACGAAGCATGACTAGCAAGTTTTAAATTGTGTGTGGCCTCCAAGGACCTCATATCTGCTTACTCTTTAATGAGCTCAGGGGCTGAGAATTATGCACCCAGCTGGTAAGGGGGCAAATAGACATAATACCTTTTCCCCATCCTCTACAACTCTCTGTAAAGTAATTTTGGTTGATAAAATAGCACGGCAGGCCACTGAGAAACCATTTTCATCAAAATGAACCTCTCCCTCCCCTCTTTTTCTTAAATAATCAGCTCTGTCAGGGCTACTGTATTTCACTCTTCCTCTTCTGGATAAACAATTGAAATGTCTTTAAAGGATTATATAGTTAGAATGTCTTTGGAGTAAGAATGAAGTAGTCATTTTTAGCTATATAATATAGGGTATAAATTCAGGATGTTAATGCTCATTAAATTGAAAAAAATTGGAAATATTTCAGCATAGCTCTTAATACCTTTCCTGCTTCAGTAATCAAGTATTCATTGAATACTTTACTCTCAGCACTATAGGGAGATACCTAACATGAGTAATGTGCCCTGCTCTCACAAATTTATCAGGGGAAATAAAAGAAATGGAGATCAAGTTACAGCAGAAGTACTAACATGGAAGGTGGAAACGCATTGCAGGATTAAAATCTCCTCACACCTTTGGCTTGTTTCATTTTTTGGTTACATTTAGGGAGCATCAGGAGATGTTTCCTCTTGTTTCTGTCCCTTCATTAGTCATTTGCTTCCATCTTTTTGCAGCATCCTCACCAATGCAAGGCTTTATTATTCAGAACAAAAGGCAATGTTGGTATTTATTCCGTCCTCTCTTTATGGCATCTGATACTGTTGTGCCCTCAGTTTCTGAGCAGGAATTGTGCATGACCTTCTTTTCAACCCTGAGAGAATTCTGATTTCTTTATCTGCTGCTGCGATGCTGTTTCTGTTCATTGCCTTTCTGCTTCTCACCTGTAACAAATCGAGCAAACCAATCCTCCTTAACCTCCCCTAACTTTCCTTTTCAGCCTTCCTCTGGGAGCACTGTCTCCCCTTTGGCTCCTCGGCCACAGCAACAACAAACATCCTGACTCTCCCCCCCATCACCCTCTGCCCCCATCAGTGCCCCAAATATGTCACAGCTGCCGCCACTCTAATCGTGCCCCCACTTCTTGTTTTCACCATCTCTCTCTAATGTTTCTAAGGTCAGAGTAATGTTTTCAGGGTCACGATTCTTAGGAAGCCCAAAGAAGGCAAGCTCATTTTCTTTCTCATCCTTTTCTTTTCTGTCATGTTATTTTATATCACTAAATGGAGTGTAAATGAAACACAGAAATCATGTCACAGTAAGAAAGCTCTACCCTGAAAATTAAGGACACCAGAAAAGCATGATGCCAATTTCTCTAGCCTCTGAACAGCTGGTCAGTTCACTCTGCTTGCGGACACGTGAGTATCTTGAAAGAACAGAACTGCTCTTTACCCTCCATACATTTCCACTTTCCAAGTATGAAAAAGCTTCATTCCCTCATTGAAATTTTTTAGAACAATACCCAAAAAACATTTTTTAATGAATAGGGGCAAAGCTCAGTCATTTCTCGTCATCTTTAAATAGTTGTTTTTTTCAATGATCATGAAATATATGCAACCAAATAAAAGATCCATATTTAAATTATTTCTTGTGAACCATTCTTCTTATCCCTTTGAATCATATGCATAATATTGAGATTTGGTTCTATCTATTCTTGGGTCCCTGAATGTCCTTTCTAAGAGAGAAATCAGTGGGACCAGGGAAAGGCATCCTAACCCAAATTGTCTAAACCAAGCCCTTTGACATTGTCCCTGGCCTGTAGCGACCTCATGGTGCCCTCCTTTACAAGTGGGTCTAAAGCTAAAAGATTTTTTACATTCACATTCAAAACTGAATTGCATTAACCAAATAAAAGGATATACCTCCACCCACAAACTTCTTCTATAGAGAGCTACAGAATATTGGTTATATCACGGCTGTCAAGAAGTATTTGAATTCAAGTCACCAGTCCCTTTGCAAATGATGGAAATTTATCAAATGATATAAATGCTGCTGTGCCTCATTTGGTTCGTAATTAGATTATGCTAACATTTTAATGTGCAGGCACAGGACATCTTAATAAAGATGTATTCCTGAGGAAAAAAATATAGTGATTTTTAAAAAACAAAGACAACCATAGGATACGGAACCCACATGAAACAGAACATGACAAGTCCACGCTTACAGAGGAAAACTATAAACAACTCCTGTCTTCATGAGATCTTCTTATGATGAGTTGGGATTGAAGAAAGAGAAGGAAGATTCTTCCACCCAGCAGGCAGGGCCAGGCCTCTGACTTCAGAGCATCAGGCAGAGTGCCCAGAGGTGGCACCTCCTGGCTCCACATCAATCAACAAGCATGTATGCAACACTTGATGTGTGTCTACAGCTCTGCTAGGCACTCCACAGAGAAAAACCACAAGAAAGAATCTCTTCTCAAGTAAAGCTCACAGTGAAATTGGGACAACAAACAAAAACACAGGAAAACAATTCTTGAACAAGACTGCATTATACAATACAACAAATATAATATCAGTATTTCAACATGCAAAACTGTGCAGTAAATATAGACAGTAGTTTCAATATAATTAGACAATTGGACCAATAGTTTCTCGTTCCATGTGCAACATTGACGTTTAATCTGGAGAATGTCTTGAGTTAAATATTTTTTTATTATTAAAAACCTCAGTAGTCCTTATTAGAGAACTCTGTGCAAAAATATTTTTTCTAACTTAATTCCATATAAGCTTAAAGCTTACATACATAAAAGAAGAACCATGCCCCCCAAAAAAATCTCAAAAGAAGTTTTGCAAATGGGATTTATGGGTTTTCTTGTTAATTATTGAAGCATCGACCCTCTGTCATTACCAGCAATTCCCAGAATAAAGCAAAAATCTACCACCCTCTTCTCTACTCAAGATTTTTGGAGATAAACGTCATTTTTCTCTTTGTGTAATAGCCTCTTTGCTAATTGATTTCTTGCTCTCCTCATGACTTGCATTTCTTTAAATTGAAAAAAAAAAGAGAAATATCCACCTTTGAGTAGTCATGGGATAAGCCATGCCACTTTTTAGTTCTACTTCCTCTGCCCTTTTCCATGCATCTCATAAAAAAGGACTTTAATTTCTTTGCATTCACCAGAAGAAGGGCTTGAATTTTCTTCATGTGTACACTAACGTTCTGAATGTTGGACTATGTACACCATTTCTAACCTTGAAAAAAACAGCCTATTTCTAAAGGTCCTCACTGCTTTTCCCCCTCCCATGCTTCCTGCATTCTTTCTCTTTAAGTGAGTACATCATTGCTTCACCCACACATTTCTGACATGATAACCATTTTAGAGCGGCCCACTTCCCCGGGAGACTACTAAACTGACTACACATGCCACTTTGCCTGCAAGAGCCCCGCTCTTCGATGTCCTGGCATAATTATTCATAGCTGTCCCTTCCCTCTCCAGGTTGTCCTCATTGGAAAGATAAATTATATGACTTCCTTTTACTACATCATCTATTGTATTAAAGAAACAGACATCATTACTGTCAAAGAAAAGCATATATCTAAATGTACAGAACCATGAATAAAAATTGTAATACCTACTCAGATAAATAATTTCTTGCAAGTTAATTTATAATATTTGACAGGCTGGATTTTTGCCCCTACATGTTTTGTCCCTAATTTGAGTTAAACACTTACATGGTGGCTTGTCTTGGTAGCCAAACGCCTAGGGAACTCCCTCCATACCCATAAAATGATACGTATGTAAAATCTAGAGCATGGAAAACTACATAGAAAGAAATTGGGATCCAGGCTTCACGCATTCAAGTACTATGTCCTGGAGTTCCCATGTTTATCACAGAGAATAAGTCAGATTCAACATCACATAATCACAGGACCAAAAGGGAGTTAATTGTGTCTGTCTTCCTGACCCTAGGAAAGATTATTCTTATGTAACTGCAGATAGATGGCTATCATGACTCCTCTTTTTATTGCCAACCAATTCAGTACAAAGTGCTTCCCAAAATAAATGAGTATGCTTCACTTTGGAACCTTAGAAAAGAAAGTTCTGCTCGTGCTAATGAAGTTAATTTAGGAGCAAGGGCCCTGTCCTGTTGCTTCAGTTTTCTTTCAGCCAGACTTGTTCTAAAGGATCATCTCATCCTTCTCGGCTCCTGGGGTCATTTGTTGGGCATTCTCCCCACTGCAGCCTGAAAAGCTGGAGCAGACAGGCAGATGAAAACAGACAGAGACAGAGGAGAACACCCCTTGTTCCCTGAAACTCTGCCCTCACAGTTCTGTACCTGGGCATGAACCCAAGTTGAATTATGACTGAAGTTGTCCAAACTTTTTTCTCTTCACAGCAAACCTTGGTTATTATAAATAAACAATTTATGAGGTACAGCATGCCCATACTCCTTTGCAGTAAGACATCATTCAGATGTAAGATCATAAAAATGTCAGAGATCCATATGGTGTCGTGTGCTTTATAGTACAACCTCTTTAGAATAAAAATTCTTCTAGAATTTCTCCAAAAGGAGCTCACACAATCCATTTTTATTTCCAAAAATTAGGGAACATTACCCCATAATAAGCAGTGAGTATCGCACCAAAGGTAGCAATCTAAAGTAACCACAGGCCATTAAAGAGCATAATGGAGGAGCTAACTGAAATTTTAGTACTATACTTGACGAGAAATTACCATTTGTAGCCGGTCAAAAATGGACAATTGCATTTTTCACATCTATGGCTTTTATCCTGCTCTTTTGTTGCTCATTGTTCATTGTGGAATTCTTTCATTGTTCAGTATTATAATGCACATGTAATTCATGTCTAATCACAAATGGGTGGTTATATTTCTAAACTAACAGTTTTTCTGCTGCTTTTTCATTGTTATTAGTGAGCAAGGGTTATAGTTTGCATTGTCTCCCATCCTAACAGCAGAACCACTTAGAAAGGTGGGGTAGTATAAAACTACTGCCCACCACTGTACAACGCCAAAAACTCTAAATGGAAAGTGATGGTGAGAGCCACGTCACACGACATAGAAGCACAAGGTGCCTAGTACTCAGAGTCAGACCCCCTCATCCTGTGCAGGTGCTTTTGCATGAGCCTATCTGTCTCCAGTATCCTTTGCCTTTGTGGTAACTACTCATTATGGTCAAGCTGCACACTGCGATAGGCTTAAGAAAGGTTTTGATAAGCTCATGGATGCCATAGCTGCAGGCAGCTATTACGTGATCATGACAGGCCACCTGGCCTTCCTAGAGAGCATCCTCACATCTGAGCACTGCCAGGTCCCGCCCTGGCCTCATCTGCTCAGACATTACTGGTGCCCAATGGCCTTAAAGGGCTACCCACACATGTTCTCTGGAGCTCTATCTTATTTTAGTGAAATATTAAAATAATATGATATGTAAATGCTAAGACACTTTCACCAGTGACTTTAGCATGAGAATCATAAAAGACTAGAAAAAAACTTAATAACATTATCATTTAAAAATGTCCTCAACTGTACTATGAAGGTTAATTTTCTGTACCTTTTTCCCATGGGGGAATCATTATTGCTGTCTTTAGTATAATTTATGTTACAGTTTGATCTGTGAAAAAATCTGCCTTTCATCTGGAGTTTCTAATATATCATATTATGTGTCACTTTGCAGTTATAATATATTGATAAAGAAGATCAGTAAATCTAGTTAAGCTGTCTTTGCCACTTTTAATAAGTAGATTTTAATTTGGAACTCTAATTTCAAGAATAATCTTTTTGGATAGCTTTGTAAATAGCTACAGTAATGTTCACATTACTAACAGGTTCCTTTTAATAGAGAAAGTTACTATGATATGAGCTAAGTAATAAATAGATAGTGAAATAAAAGTTAAATTAAGGACACATTTTTCACATGCATTTTAGAAATTATATCCAATCCAATAGCTTGCAGATTTATTTCATTCAGTAGTTTAAAACTTAATGTTCCTGGAGTCAGACAGGGGGAATTGGGGGGAAAGGGCCAGGTGAGAAGGAAACTAAAATCAGTCCTTGATTGAAAGTTATTTAGTAGGTCAAAGCATTTTGTTGGTAGCACAAGTTGACAATGTAACCCAAAGTACTTTCATGAATAAATATAAACTATCGGGGCTGCAGTAAACTGAATGTAATTGCTGGATGACAAGTAGGTCCTTGTGAGATTACGATAATGTAAATTTTCAGTTTTACAACTAATGGAAGTGTTTAGATGTAGCAGTCTTCCATCCCTGATGCAGCTCTCTCTTTTTGATGAAAGGCTATTTCTGAATTCATAATCCTAAGCAGTCACACTAAACAGAATAAAAATAAATAAATAAATAAATAACAGTTCTGCTAGAAAACTGATTTGTGTTTACTGTGCAAACACAGATTGCTTGGCAGGGGTAATTGTCCGGCCCATGAGGAGTTAGATGAGCTGTGCAGGTACAGCAGGGACATGTGTCAGACACCGGAGCCTTGCAGCCCTATGCCTCATTGTCACCTCAAGAGGCTTCTATTTTCATTTTCAGTGTTGAATAGTTCAGAACTCTATTTGAAACAAAGCTCAATTAGAAAGTAATCAAAATTTGGTCTTATTTTAATTTTTTAAATGTGATGATAAAATATTCATTTTTTTTCACAGTGCTACATATATATATTATTTTATACTCATGTTCACAAATTTTTATGTTATATGTAGCATAGATTACATCATAATTCTCATGAAAAATCTCTATTGCTAAAATACACCAATTTACCTCAACTATTTATATATAAATTCAACTATCCAAAGCAAGTATCAAAATACTTGGACTGGTGTACATAAATCAACATAATCGTTGATTGAATTTTCTAGTTTTCATTATAATTTTTGATGACACAATATCATAACATGATTTTAAAAGACCTGTATTTCTGTGTGTATAGGTCAGGTTTTGGACTGACTTGACTTTCAATAAGCATTCTTATAATGAGAATCATGGGTTAATATTTGGAAATGGTGACCTTTTTTCTGTTCTGATCTAAAGGTAATTCAGATTTGTATTTTAGGTACATGTGAAAGAAATACACTTATAGACATGTCCATATACATAAAACAGTAAATCTGTTCACTAACTTCCATAGATTTTAGAGGGAAAAAAAATCATTAAATATGAGCGTGAATTGAGGGTGAGTTATAATAGCAACAAAAAGAAAATAAAGATAAATTTTAAAATGCCATAAATGAATTTCAATTTCAATTCCCCATTTTCCCATCCAGAACAAGTGCCACCAAGGACCAGTTTTCGGATGGATTCCTCTGGCAAGTATTCATCAGTACTCACAGTCCTGTGAATGATGTCTTCCATTTTGTGTAACAAATCATTTGAGTGCTATCTGTTTATTAGTATACGATCACTGTGCTAGTTTTATTCACCCACTTAAGCATGTATTTAATGTAGAAAGCAAGTCTCCTCAAGGTAGGCCTGAATGGTTGCCAAAGAAACAAACAAAAAACAAAGGAATACAGTCATATTTATTTATTTATTTCATAAAATGTTCTAGTAAAAGAATAGATTGCAAACCAGGTGACAAAGCCACCAGACTGACTAAATCTATGCTGTCCAATACTGTAGCTTCTAGCCACATGTAGCTAGTGGGCTCTTGAAGTGGGCTACTCTGAATTTGGATGGGCTATAAGATATGTTTAAAATCTATACCAGATTTCAAAGACAGTACCCCCCCCAAAAAAAGGCCAGTATAACATCTCAATTATTTTTATATTGATTAATGTTTAAATAATACTTTAAATCTATCAGGTTAAAAATATATTATTAAAATTTGTAGTACCTGTTTATTTTTGCTTTTAAAATGTGGCTACTAGAAAATTTTAAATTATTTGTGTAGCTTATATTATATTTATATTGGACAAACCTAAACTAGATACATATAAATAAGAGATTTGCAATTTAGACATTTCCGAAGAACTTATTAGAAATTCTTCTAATAAAATGAAATTATTTTCACATCAATTAAATACCTATATCAATTTAATTTTCTTAAACCATGCCAGTTATAAAATGCTACATTTCAATAGTTTTTAAGTTAGAATACAATATTATAATTTCAAGTTTAAGAACTATTAGTAATAATCAATTTACTTAAAGGGAAAATATTTTTTGACCTAACCATTCTGAAAATAATTAATTTTGGTTTAGGCTACAATATTTCATGTTATTATGGAAATGAAGGAGTGAAGGGAAGATTCAGATTTTTTTTACTCTTAAGAAGCACTTTGAACAGCCAACTAGATCGTTGGATTGAAAACTAGAACGCTGCAACAATTGCAAAAAAAGCATTTCATACTAGTACTATTTCAGGTCCGTAGGCTCACAGCACACATCTCTAGTGTGTTTCCATGATGACAGCTCATTATCCATCTCAGCATGTTCTAACACCCCTTGGAGAATATATGTGCTTGAGATCATTTCGTTCTGTAAGTTTCCATGTCATTTTTTTGGATATGTAGAAAATATGGAAGATATTGTGTAGCATTTTGTCTTTAAATAATGTCTAAAGTATTCGTTTATCTTGGTCTGAAATTTTTTAAAGCATGATTATTTTTATATACCGACTGTAAAACACTTATAAGTTTTAAGAATATCTTATGGCTAGAGGGAAAATGAGACCTAGTAATTACAGTTGCAAAATGAAAGCAGGACTTAATTTGAAATTCTAAACCTTAGCATACTGGCCACCGCAAGCACATTTATTGAAAATCTCAGCTTCTAAAAGTACTTTATTTAAAAACAAAAGAAGAAAGAAAGAACCACCTAATAGCTTACATTACCTTGCCATATGTATAAAATACTATTTTTACATTTCAAAGAATATAAATTACTTGAAAGAGAAAAGTTACAATGTAGTTTGAGCAAATTATACTGCTATGCAATCCAGGTTTTCAAGAAGAGAATCAATCCAAATATTTTCTTAAATGCTCACACAAGTTATCAAAATATTCTAGATAATTATGACCGCATCCAAATAAATAGATCTCCCATACTACTTCTCACATTTATAATGCCCTTTATCAAATTCTGTGTCATGATTTATGACTTGGATATATTTAGCATAATTATAAGGTATTTTATTAACTTTAGCTGCGTAACATGCTTAGGTACAGAGGCAAAACTAATAGAAGTCCTAAATAATGTAATTATGAAGCTAAGTGATAACTCCATAGTAAAATAATGCCATGGTTTATCAGGTCTACTAGATTAGTATCTTTAAACAATTAAATTCAAGAAACACTTATTTAGCAACTCCTATAGGGTGTGCATAATGGAATACTATACATAGACAAAGATAGTGATGCCATCACAAAAGGAGACAGTGAAAAACAATGAATCCATAGCTAGGACCTTTGAATGGACAACTCCACCCAAAGACAAGAGAGCAAGGCCATGAAGTGTCATAAAAACCAAGAGTAGAAATCACTTCCAGAAGGAGAACGTTCCTTGTTTAAAAACAAAAGAAATCAGGGGACATAAGGGTGCATCACCAGTATCAAATGAGGCACAGAAATCAGTTAGAGTGAGGAAAGAAAATGGCCATTCAGTTTGGTTATTAAGGTGTCATCAATGACTTTAAAGAGGGTAGTTCAGTAATGCCAAGAGAGCAGAAACCAGACTGGTAGGACTAAGGCAGAGATGAGAGAGTGAAGATGAGAGAATACTCTTCCAAGAGATAAATGGATGGGTGAGCAAGGGGGTATTTAGGATGGGGAAATCTGAGTTTATTTCAAGGCTGAGGCAGAGAACCAAACAGAGTGGGAGATGGCTTCTACCATGCCTAAAATGAGTCTGACCACATTCTCATTACCAAAGGTATAAAGGAAAAAAAGTAAAGAGAAGGGGAAAATGTGTTAGCTACTTATCTGGTAATGTTATATTCCAATAATAGAAATTATTTAATTCCTGTTTTACTCATTCAGTATCTGGAGTGCATTGGAAATCCAGAGACATATTTAATAACCACCTCTGATTCCTGATTCCTTCCTCGTACTGTCTTTCCTAGATCTCATTACAAAGAAGAGCCAGAAAATTAGTGCTCTTTCCAGCAGGAAAAAAATTGAATGAATTCTTTCTCTGTGCCAAACTGATAGTAAGCCTGTGGTACTTGTTTTAATTAAAACATGAAAGGGGATTCAAGTACCAAAATTCAATTGACATGTTTACAGCAGCATCCCATGTGCCAAATTAATCCATAAAAATGTCGTTCTTTGCATTTTCGAAGCTTGAATCATTCATAAAATTAATCAGTTGTGTTCAGTCACCCATCCTTTTCCCTAAAACTGTGCACAAAGCCATGTCTTTTAAAGCTAGACCAAGGATACTTATGACATGTGAAGCCTTCCTGGAGTCTTGGTGTGAAGTAAGAATCAGCTTTGAAATTCTTTTCCTTTGTGATGAAGGAGGTTGTCCTGATACCTGGATGTGGCCACCATTTGCTACTTTTAAACATGTTAGGTTTTTCAGTATTAGTGGGAGCCCAAGATACATCAGGACTTGTCAGTTCCATTCTGATAGCTTGCCGCAGTGGCCAGGTTAAGTCCCATTTTGGATGAGTATCTTAAGATGCTTTATCTCATAATGCCTGAAGATCCTGGGACCCGACTTCTAGGGAATAAGCAACACTGGCCATGGCTGGTCATTGAACACCAAGGTCCAAAGAGTGCCCTGCCTCTCCTTAGTCCATTTCTTCACAACCACTGCCTCATCTTGAGTTGCACCAAGAAAAACTTGAGTAACTCTGATTAGGAAAAACAGCTGAGGAAAAGGGAGGTTAAAAAAAAAAGGCACAGAAATAGAATAAACAAGGAAGCAGAAGAGAATAAAAAGATGTTGGTGAAGGCATGGTTGAGTGACCTCCAAAGTGACTCAGGTCCCACTAGATGTCCCCCAGACCCCTTCGTCTGGCAACCTTCCTGGTGCATGGTTGCAAAACCAACAGGAGAGAGGGGTGATGAGTATGATATTCGTAACTTGGGTAAACAGTTGGCTCTTGGATTTCTTTGCTTAAAGTTCTTGCATCAACAGAAGATATAAAACATGATGTGATAATTTCAAATATGTCATCAGATCAGAAGAGCAGCTAAAGGAAGGTATCAGAAACATCATAATCTTTCAAGAGAGTTAACAAAGCAGGAAGGAAAAAAAGTAATGTCTCCCAGCTTTGTGCATATAATTGTAGTTATTTTCTAAAAACAGGCTCAAAGGGTGGGGAGATGGAGAAACCAAAGAAAAATCATCTTTCTAAAAGCTCTTATTTAAAACACACACACACACACACACACACACACACACACACACACACTACTGCCTTAAGGCACAATCTATCATTTAAACTTTTTTTTCCAGTTAACCATAACTATTTCTCTAAAGTTTCCATTCCCTGCAGCCTCTGAGTCTCTGTTCAAAATTAATCAAAGAAATACAAACAAAAAATAAATCATGTCTGCTGGCATGCTTTTCTAATGGGCCTCTATCTTTGCCTCTCTCTACTTGCTCATGTACCATGAAGCTGGCCATCTTCTGCCTGAAAATTGGAGGGTGAATGATATGGCTGGCACATTTCACCCTAGTTGAAATCAGAGTGGTCAGAGTAAGAATCAGAAGATCATAATGTCATTAAAATGCACACAAAAAATAGGAAAAGGAGGATGAATGCCCTGCTCACATCTGTTCTTCAGAGTTAAATAAAATTAATGGGCTAAAATCTATATTTTCCTACCAAAAAAAAAAAAAAAGGACTTCTGGTTTTTTCACTTAGGAAAAGCTTTCCAATCCCCCCAGGAATTACAACGTTCTCTGACACGAGACAACACTCGTACCTTGGAATATCTCAAATTCCATTACTGGGATTGTCATAATTTTAGCATTTGCTTGGGGAAAATTTTTGCTTAGCACATAAAGTAACTCACCCAATAAACTCTTAGAGTTCCTCATGCAATATGGAGTGGTGCTAAAGCTACTGGAGGAGCAATTTCCCATTTGCCATACTCACCAGCAATGCAAAACTGAGAATATTTATAAGAGTAGATGAAAAGTTCTGTTTAAAATATGATAGCTCTATTAAGTTTTAAAAATATGTCATGCTGTCTGTATTTCTTATGTCTATGTGGTCTAGAGTCCTCTAAGCTTAAAGTCACCTAGAGAGGAGATTGCCGTCCGCAGTCATATCACAATCGACTTTTAGGTTTGAACAGCGGTTTGGCATTAACTGTCACCTTCCCATGTTCCCTGTTCCCTGGCCATGTTCCCTGGCCTTTCTGCTCCCCCAGGAAGAGTACAGGCATCTGCTGTGACTTTGGGGACTGCTCCACCCGCCTCCAGAGTCCCAAAGGCTTAGTACACACCCCAACATGTGATTTCATATATGATATTATAGACCCCAGAATAAACTGAGGTTAAAAGTCAATTGTGGGGCTGGCCGAGTTGGTTAAGAGCTGGCTTGGGACGTCAGTTCTGAGCAGCAGGGCCAGGGTTCGGATCCCACATGAAGGGCCAGTGCCGCTGCGCCCTCTACAGCTAAGATGGTGAACAACAGCTCGACCTGGAGCTGGGCTGCCGTGAGTCGCCTGCGATGGCGTAGGCTGTAGTGAAGCTGCAGCGGGCTGCCATAAGCTACCGTTAGTGGCCGGCAGCCAGCGTGAGCAGCCGGCATGAGCTGCCATGAGTGGCCGTCCAATAGCCGGCGAGCTACTGTCTCACCCGGGAAGAGCGCAATGATCACAATACCAACATGAGCCAGTGAAGCGATGTCCTCCACAACTAGATCGAAGAACAAAAGGACAACAACTTGTCTGTTCCCCTTCCCCGATTCCCCAATGCTGTTCCCCTCCCCCAATTCCCCAATAAAATCTTTTTTTTAAAAAAAGTCAATTGTGCATTGTAGAGTGTAGGGCAAAGTTTTTCTCTGCCTTTTACCACAGAACTCTAAGTCACTATTTAATAGGAATTGAATTCTTCTAAGTTCTCTCATCTTTAAAATATGAATGATTATACAATTCATAAAGGATGACTATTGGTTGTGGAGATCCGATTCATTAGTCTTCTTTGAGTTTTATATTAGCCACTAAATGGAAAAGACTTGTTATAAATGCCTCTGGTCATACAAGGGCATGAAAGTTCATTTAATCTTACATTATATATACATATGTACATATGTACTTATGTGCTAGATTCAGCTTTTCTGTTGAGAGAACTAGGCACAAACTAAGCAAGCGTATACCTACATTTCAGAATGACCTGCCTTTCGTTTATCACTGGGGATGCACAGTCCAGGTCGGAGGGCACCAACGCAAGCCCCGTATCATAGTGCTTGGCGTATTGTGTCACTTCAGCAGCCCCACTTACTGTAGAACCTGGAAAAGATTCACCTAACATTCATTCCGTGAATCTGTCTCTCAACTATGACTACGAGCATATATACCCAAGTGGTCCAGACATAACTTCCTGTCCCATAAGAATTCTCTGAAACCTCATCCCAATTTCCAAAACCCTCCTGTTTAAGCAAAGAGAATTGAACTTAATATTTGCTTCTATCGATTCTAATACCTCCTTTAAATCATCAAGGCCCAGAGACCACTAAATACTTCTTAAGCAAAAAAAATGGCATTAATAAGTATTCCCCAAAGTTGCTGATCATCCACTGACATCCTACAAGTGTCCAAAAAACTGTGTACAGCTCAGTTGTAATTGAGGCTTTTCCCCCTGAGAAAGGTTCAAAAAGCCAGGAGCAGAGGATGAGCATAAATCATATTCTCTTTAAACAGTCCAAAGATTTCTTATGGTTTTAGTTTGTTTTTTCTAGGGTTGATGACATTCAGGAGAGTTCCCCAGCTTGTCCTTGAGTATATTTCTGTTCCTTCAGCTAACTGCAGAGAAGTAGTCCTCCTCTTGTTTATTTTGAATACACTAATGAAATCAACAGTGGCTTCCACATTTTAAAATGTTTGGGGGTTAGGAGTTTACTTAGATGAATTTCTACCCCTAAATTATTCAAAACCTAAAGGAGTTGGTCAGAAAATAAAAACTTAAACCTCAATACAGAAAAGTTTAAATTTTCTATTTTCTAATTTTTATAATTTTAAAAGATAACTTTCATTAGACATGAGTTTATATCCCCTTCTTCCCTGTCCCCCCTCCTGCCCCCCCCCCACACACACACACTAAACTGGGTACATCTATATTAGCAAATGACCAGGTAGTACTTTACCAGGTAGTTCTAGGATGATGCCATGTGTTCTCTCAGACTTCTAAAACAATCATTCTAGTCAGAGTAAATATCCTCAAAATTACAGCCAATCCTGAGGATAATCTGAATGCCCTCAGGAAAATAAAAAATTATAAAGGCATCAGTTTTGGTTTTTTTCACCCAGAAAATGTGTGTGCTCTTTCTGCCCATGGTGGTACCCTAGTAATGCCCTTGGCTGTTCACTGATAATTCAGATACTACCTCATTTTGGAATACCTACTTTTTGTTGCCATATACATTTTTTTTTATTCTCTATGCTTGCCACCAACTCTAACAGCACTCTCATTAATCACATCCACAAAATTAATTTATCATTGGTGTGTTCAGTCCCTCAGGGGGTGGGGAGGAGGCAGGCTTCATTACTCAATGGAATCTCCTTTATGCCAGGTCCAGATTATAAGGAGCTGGATGTTCACCTTCGCAGGATGGAGTCTGGATTTGGCTTCAGAATCCTCGGGGGAGATGAGCCTGGACAACCTGTAAGTTAAATCCTCTTTATTGCTGCACTTTGGGCTATATTGTGTATAGAGGAAATATTCTGTATGATGCCTAAAAGGAAATCTTTTTGGACTCTCATAAAAAAAAGTTAGAGGTTTGTTCTTGCTATTTAAATTCTTAAAATATTCCAGTGTTTCCATGCCTGTGTATCATCATAGATCAATGCACGTTACATTAAGAGAAGAAAATGACTCTTTCTTAGACTAGATGTGATTCTTCTTGAATATTTCAATTATTTGTTGTATTGGACCAACTCCTGGTCTCTCTGGGCGGCTCACAGGTAAACATGAAGTATGACAGAGATATCACATGAAGAGATTACTTGGAACAGCATAATTATGTATGTTTTCACTCACTATTACAAGGAAGAGAAAACAGTGACAAGCAGAAGTAAAATCAAGCTCAATGGTGCAGAATCTCAACCAGATTTGAATTGAGGGATTACCATGAGAAGATGTTCACTAAGTCAAACTGAGTGGCACAATATTGAGAATTTGGGGAGGGTTTGGGAGAAATTTATATATTATATATATTATATATATAATTATACATCAGAGTGAAAGCATAAAATAACAGTATTTATTAATACACAGAAAACACAGCAAAGCTAGATTTATGAGCACACATTAAAATATAAGCTATAAAATACTCATTGTAAAAGTTCTGTCTTAAATGATATCCAATGTGACTAAGTCAGGCCCATGAAAGGTTTGAATAAATGATACCCCTTCCCAGCTCTGGCGCCTGTAACCCATCCTAGCTCATGCATGGGGCTTAAGCTTCAAGCCTCAGTTTCTTTATCTGCACGATGAGGGTAACAATAATACTCTTTCACAGAGCTGCCTTAAGAATTAAAGAAGGTAAGTTATGTGAAGCTCTAGGTATTGTGTCTGCGTCATATTAGGTGCTGGATAAACGTTTATCATTATGGTCTCTCTTGCTGGTAGATGCTTCCAAAAAATTAAAGTTGAGCCACTGATAGGCAGAAATCTTCAAGGGGGGTGGGGGGGAAGAGAGTTAATCTAACAAACGAAAGGAATCTGTAAAAATTGAAATTGTCCCAAAGTGATAGCCTGGTTGCCTTGACTGACAGTAATCTCCTTCCCAGGAAAGGTATTCAAGCTGTTGATGAGAACCTGACAGGAACCCGAGAGGCTGCCTCTGTCCTGGATGTTAGATAAGTTGGACCAGAGGCTTGATGAGAGGTCCCTTACTCCAGAAAACTCCAAGAGGCTGAGCTTGAACTCTAAGGATGAGGGTATTCCAGGAAAAAAAAGACTTATTTCATAATTCTTAGGGATAAAATTTGGCAAGTCAACCAGAATATGACTAATTTCTTAGCTGCCAGAAATGTGAAAATGCTGTTGCCAAGGAGGATTGTCTGGATTTTCTTGCTAGTGCTTTGGGAGGAAAGACAGTGCTGAGGTAAAATTTAGGACTCAAGTAATTTTAGACTTAAATTTATTCAGAGCCTAAATTAAGGATCCCATGACACGGATAGAAGACACCAATCTCAGTTACATTTTGCTTCCCTTCACAGGGTCATTCCCCTCTCTCTGTCACCTGATTCTGTGTTTAACAGGGATCTTCAGTCACCTGTTCAGCCCTCCAGCCTCATTCCTTCCTATAACTCATCTTTAAAAATTAAATTTATGGGGGTAGTATCACTGGTTAATAACATTATATAAGTTTCAAGTGTACAATTCTGCAATACATTATCTGTATTATTGCATTGTGCGCTCACCACCCGAAGTCTAGTCTCCTTTCATCACCATATTAATTGACCCCCTTTACCCTCTTCATCTTCTCCCCACCCCTTACCCCTCTGGTAACCACCATACTGTCTTATAATCCATCTGATTCTACACATGGAACTGAAGATAGGATCGGGTTCTTTCACATATGTAAACATTTAACCTCTTGGCCTCTATGGGGTATTTATCTGACTTAGCTTCCTTCAGGACTGTTCTTTAACATGTTTGTAGTCTGCCTATTCAGTTTGATCCGTGGGATTTTAAATTCCTTTTAAGCAGGAGCTTCATCTTTTCCTTTTTATTATCCTTTAGTGCCCCATAACTGAAAAGTGTGCCATTACCCAGAGCTAACCAAACTCCTGGTTAAGATCTCAGGCCTCCAAACTGCCAAGTCTGCCCAACACAACTGACACTTAGCTGCAATTAATTTGCAAAACTGCAAAGTCTGAAGGAAGAATCTCCACAATACTGCCCTTACTTCAGCCACTAGCTGCAAATTTGGCCTTCCTCATGTTCAGTAATTCACTAGAACAACTCATAGAACTAAAGAAAGTGCTATACTTAGGATTACAGTTTTATTATAGTGAAAGGAAACAAATTAGAACAGGCCAAAAGAAAAGGCACATAGGACAAAGTCTGGAAGGGGTCCAAATGTTAAGCTTTCATCGTCCTCAGGGATGTGTTACCTTCCTGGCATCGATACATGGAGGTCTGCCAAACAGGGATGCTCACCCAAGTTCTTGCGTCCATAGTTCGGGATTTTATTATGTGGGCATGATTGATGGAATCATCGCCCAGGCCGGTGAGCTCCCTCTCCCGCCCCCTTTCCTTCCCAGAGGTCAGGCTAATATCATGTGGCTCAAAGGCCCAACCCTTTAATTACATGGCTGGTCAGTCTGGCATGGTCAGTCCCCACCCTAAGACTGCTGGGTGGCTGGCTCCATGCTGAGTCATCTCCTTAGTGTAAACTGTGAGGGGCTCACCATGAGTCTCATTAGCATAAACTCTCAAGTTTGGACCAAGGAGCTCATCATGGACAACAAAGACAATTTTGTTCTAAAGGTATAGAGGTTACCTTTCAGGAAAGGCCAAACCTCTCTTTATTACACAGCCATATGCTTAAAATGAAGACAACAAATGATATCCAGTGAAGGAAACTAAACAAAACCATATCTAAACTAAAATAGCACTTTAAGGTGATTTTTATAGCTTTTGTGAGATACCAGCTGATCGCTGAGACTTTTTGTAAGATAGTTAAGGTTAAATTCATATAGAATCCAGTGTACTTTAACATGATGCCTCAAACTTACCAAGTTAAGGAGTCTCCCCCAGAAAGATGAGGTCCCTCTTTGTTCCTAAATGTACCGACTGACATGCTTTCTTTTCCTTACCAATCTGTGAGCTCCTGGAAGGCAAAGGCTGTTGTTTTGATGATGTTTGTGTCTTCCACTCCCAGCACAGAGCCTGGCACAAGAAATAATTGTTGAGTAGAAGTGAAGAGAGCCCTCTTCACTTCTGTTACCTGAGCCCAAACTGTTACCTGAGCTTCTCAGAACAAATAATGATGGAGTTTACACATTTTGAGGCCTCTGTGCCCTATAGGGTCTATGGAATTAATATGGCCTCATCCCAGAAGCAGGGATATGTCCTGGTACCTCTACCACATGCTTTGCTCAGCTCCCCCAGTGCTTTACAATTGCTGTGCATCAACTAATTTCACATTTGCAAAACTTCAGATTTCCATCTTCCTTTGAAAAATACATCTGCTAACATTGAGCTTGCCTTTCTCCGTGACAACTTGAGCTAAGTAGTTTGTTAGACTGAGCATGGCCACAGATCCCCAAACTCCCTAATGCCTGTGTGACTTATTTTGTTTACTATCTTTGAGACTCTGAGACTCCCATCCCAGAAGCTTACATTGAACGAAATTGGAAAGGTGGATATTTTGCACCAAAGGAGTCTTCAGCCAGGGCCAGGTCCTGGTTTTGATACGCCCCAACACTGAAAATATTTTCAGGTCCCTTCTCTTATATATAAATACAAATTAAAGATTAAACTGTAAAGTAAGGCAAAACAACAAAGTTTCTTACTTCGACACAGTCTTTGAAATATAAGATTCTTACTTTGCTAGACCTCCCGCTTCCCCCCATAGACTCATGCTTTGTCTGCTTTGGGGGTAAACTAGCACCACATTTGGGGAATATTATCCTCACAGGTCTCCCCCATCTCCCAGAGGTAGAAGGGATTGCATGGCAGTCACAGGAAGGGCACAAACTGGCTCAAGCAAAGAGAGGGCTGCCTGAACTTTGCTGGGCACAGAAGCAGAATTGTCATCCAGATGGAACACATATTACTCCCAGTGAAGCTTAGGTGTGTGAATTTATCACGGTCCCCGCCCAGCCCCAGGACAGCTTTCTGCCCGGTCGGGACAGAGGTTCCCAGGTTTCCAACCTTCTCAACATTGGCTTTGCATTCACAAGTCCTTTCCCCCCACTATTGGGCAGGCATCCAGTATTTATGATAAGCCTCCTCAGATTACATGGCTTGCTGGTTATCCTCGTTGTGTTTATTTAGATTTATTTTGGTTTATTCTTTCATCTGAATGATTTAAGATGCACTCGGGCTGCAAGTTACAATTCTGACAGTTAAGCCATAAAGTGGAATCCTAAATCTCCCTCAAGCAAGCAAAGCCAGAAAATAATGTCTTGAAGACTAGAATATTGCACCTCAGAACAACCATGTCAGAAAGAGTGAGTCTACTGTAAAGATCTCCCATAAGCCTTTCCTTCCTGCTTTCTTCCGCTATAAGTCTAGAGATAATATACAAACAAAACGAGCTACCTTCATTTAATTGCTGATGTGCTACACAGGGAGAGGCACATGAGGGGACTTGGTCCCCAACCGCAGGAGGCCTCATAAATTACGTCAAATGGGTTTCTGCCTCCATATATATGAAACGGTATTGACATCTCAGGGTGTGCATTAAACGCGACAACACGGGCTATGGCAAATAATGAACAGCAAGACTCCAGCTCAGACAAAGCATATGGGCATTTTTCCTGCAAGAGGAAATATTTTTCACAGTTAAATAACAATAGAAATAGAAAGAAATGAAAAATTGCCAAGAAGGAACAAAAATGAGATTTCCAGCTGTGAACTAAAAAGAGATGGGAAGGCATCAAGATGGAAAAAACTTGGGAAACTGCCATGGAGAAAGGCCTGTGTGGAGAAAAACTGTTGAAAGAGAGAGAGAGGTGATGACAGACACGCGCCTTGGCGCAGGAGACTGGTGCAAACTTGGGGAGTTTTAGAAGGCAAGAGCCTGAAATCTGCTTGCTGCATTGTCACGTTGTCCCAGCCTATAATTGTGGCAGATCAGATCTACTGGGGTTAGACTAACATTTAGGCAGTGCAGGAAAGAACTAAAGGAATTAAAAGGCCTACAAAGGTGACTTTCATTTTGTTTGTTTCTTACTTTTTGTTTTTGTTTTCCTTTTAGTGTTAGTTTTCCCCTGGCTTACTGGATGGACTATCAGCCACTTGAATGTGAATTGCTGTGATTTTATATCAAAGACTCTGCTTTGTTCTGTGCCCTCATAGCCTATCAGATAAAGTGAAGTTGTGGAGTTGTTTTTGATTCTTTTGTCTTTTAGAGAAGGTGATTGGAAAGATAAGGCCATAAGTGAGTTGTTTATCTGGTGGAGTTGGTGGAGGTGCTCTTTCTTGATCTGTGTTGCCACAGGACTCTTCCTTTAGAGCCAAAGGAAGAGAGGCAGGATAAAGACCTCCTCCAAGAGCAATGAGAAAACTGGTGGTTGGGACTCAGGGATCCACAAAGACTGAAGAATCCAGTGAGGCCAGTTGGCTGGGAAGGCTCACTTGCTGGTGTGGCCAGAGATCAGCAAGACCAGGAGGAAAATGTAGCCTGATGAGTCAGGGAACCCAGAGCATGCGCTTAGGGTAATCCCCTCAGCGGACCTGGAAAATGTCCAGTGTGAAAGGGCAGAGAGCTCAGACCAGGCACCAGAGGGAGAGTCTTTCAGTAGACTTGGAACATGACCAGTGAGACCACAGATCCCGTGACCATTAGACCACATGGGAGTACTCAGGATCTTGCTGCTCAGAGTGTGGTAGAGCTATAGACCAGGGGCGTCCACCATCTCCTAGGAGCCCGGTAAACATGCAGAGTCTCAGGTCCCACCCCAGATCTGCAGAATCCGGTTTTCAGGAGTAGGTAGGTCCAGAACTCTCTGTTCCTACAAACTCACCGGCTGATTCCCATGCACCCTGAAGTCTGAGAACCACTGACATAAGGGATCAGATATCCTGAGGCATGTTTTCAAGAGCTTAAGTGAACATGAGAAGCCAATGTGACTTACAGTGAAAGAAGGAATCATAGATTATCTAGTCCCTGCACTTCAGTGGCAGACAGGAAATAAACTAGTAGATGTGGTGAGTGTACAAAGCATATTTGAATAAAGAAAAAAGTTGTGCATTATTTTCCTGAGTAGAGAGACACATAGAGCTAGCTCTGTGTCAGCAGTGAAATATAGCACATAAAGGTGCAAACGGGCCAAAGGCTAAAAAAGAACAGCAGCGTGAGAGCTAGAAGTAGTGACAGTGCACATGGTCAGCCTCTTCCCAGCAAAGTCAGCGGCTCCTGATGGATGGAGCAAATGTGGCTGATTATATATATATATATATATATATATATATATATATATATGTAACTAGTGGACAGGCAACTCTAATGCCTACTCCTGTTCACCACACTCAGCTCAGCTTAAGTTTATTTAATAGCTATGGCAAACTTTTTTGGACACAAGGTAGAGGATGGATTAGATAATGTAATTACATAATATATAAACACATAATAACTATATAATACTATATAACAATTATATCATATACTATGTATCCTATAGTAATAATTAAATCATATACTATATAATTATATCATATACTACATAATACTATATAATTTATATTGAAGTATCATATTGAATATATAGTTTATTTAGATATTCAATTGAAGTATTCATTGAATATAGTTTATTAAAAATAAATATGTAAAGGGCCGGCTGAGTGGCTCAGTTGGTTAAGAGCTCGCTCAAGAGTTTGAGCTCTGAGCAACAGCGGTTCGAGTCAGCCCGAGCTGAGCAGCCGCTGAGCTGCCAACAGGTGGCAGGATGGCTCAGCTAAAAAAAAATAAAAAATAAAAATAAATAAAAATAAATAAATATGTAAGATTTGATCAAACAAACGAAAATGTGAAGATTAAACTTCAAGTTTTTAGAAAATGTGTCTGATGAACTTCAGTCTTTGCTCAGATGTCAATTTCTCACTGAGACCTGCTCTAACCAACTCTAAAACCACCTCGGCTACATGCCTGACACCCACCCACCACCCCACCTTGCTCTATTTTGTCCATACTACATGCTTGTTAACATACAACATGATTTACACATTTATTACATTTATTATTGTCTGACCTCAAGAATGGAAGCTCTATAGGTCAGGGACTTTTGTTCGTTGTTCACTGATGGATTTCTGGTACCTAGAAGTGTTCCTGGGCTCAATGAATACTTGCTGGGTAAATGAATTAATTAGTGAGGAGAGTATCTTATATCATACATAGTAATATAGCAAAAAAGCAGATGTTTTACTGGAATTTTTCTTTTAATGGATGATATTAAACTAGCAGCACAGAAGATAACTTCAAGGGTATCTGTACATGTGTATCTTTCCTGTTTTTCTTTAGCAAGAGAGGAACAGGAATTTTCTAATGTGAAATTTTATTTTTACAACTTTTGTAGAGGGCCTAATTGCAGCTGTGGCTCTCTCAGTTATAACCTATTTTTTGGTTCACTTTGATCAATTAGAATCAGAAATATAGCCTAAAGTTGTTGATAATTAACCATCCAAGAAGTTAAACCATATTTTTCTCTGTAACCACTTATAAATTCTCCCAGTAAAGCATACAGGAAATCTAAAGGTTGAAGCATTTTCTTTGGGCTAACCCAGCTAAATGCAGATTTTCATGGGGCAGTGGAGAAACATAAACATTCATTTTAACTGGCTCTTGCACAAAGCACTTAGCAAATCTTTGAAGCACTCCTCAGTGGGTTGAGACTTTTGAAGAATAGATTGGAACATCCTCAGAAAGAAACTCATAAATTCAGGTTGGCATGACAATAAGGGAAAATGGATGCTGTCAGAAGCATGCCTGATGGCTGGACTACAGCAAATGGGCATGGAACGCTGCAGGGAAAGAACCACACTGTACAGCCAGTCTAATGCAGGAGATGTGAGCCCCGTCATGGGCTAGCAATAATGAATCACACTTCAGAGCACTAAGATTCAACACAGAAGCAAATCTATTCCCCACCTCACCCCACCCTCCAGAAATAGGGGGAAAGCTGCTATAGTGATGCGGTATTTTCATTCCTCTGAATAGAAGAGCTATTATTCAGTAGACCAAGACTGTGAAGTCCTCAGGAAAAGAGAAAACTCTTCAAGCTGTAATTTTTCAGATGCCTGAGAAGTCGTGGGCATTTAGGTCTGGTTACCACACGAAGCGGTGTGACCAGGTAGGAAGGAATCATTCTGCTGCCGGGCCTGAAGACGTGCAAACCTGTAGGTCACAAAGCAGCAACTCTGCAAATTAGCTGGAATCCACAGGTCTGGGATTTGGAAGACATGTTTGCACCTGAAAGAAATCAAAGTAAGGGGTCATTTTATAAACATGTTAAAAAAAAAACCAAACAAGAATATAGGCTCTGTAATATCATTAGGCCAATGGTAACAACTGCCTTTAGATGCTGTGGGGCTAAGCCACATGGCAAAAGAAAAAGTGTGTCTTTTGTCCGTAAGTTGGGGACATTGTTTATAGGTTAAACAGCAAAATTAAAATTTTAAGCACTCTTGTCTCTCCTCTGATAAAGAAAAGAAGCTTTACATCAGTATTGACTGTTTTGACACTGAATTGGTGTTTCTAATGGGAAGTGGGAAACCTTATGTTATGCCTTTCATCACAGTTCCTGGTTCAGGGAATTATAACTGCACACACATTTCCCATATGTGTACGTCCTCATTTTCTGCTATGGTAGCAACCTACACAGCAGAAGCATTTCAGGAGACAGGCAGAACTGGGAATGTCCTTACTGCAGAGGACGGTACTCCAAGGAAGTATTAAAAGAATGAAGCTAAAATCTAGAGATTTGACTGACATTGTTTAAGTGAGTCAACTAGCCAGGAAAAACCCACCATGAATTTTACTTTGTTTTGTTTTCTCCTTACATTAAGCTTTTCAGAGCAAAGCAAAAAAAAAAAAAAGAAAGAAAGAAAGAAAGAAATTTACAGGCAAACAAACCAAAGACAAAAAAAACACTAGGAACCTTTTTCCAAGTTGAATAACTTGCAGCAGCTGGTTTCCCCTGGCATTTTTCCGTTACTCACTATGTGCCATGAGCAAAGTTAAACGCCTCACATACGTTATTTCGCTCAGTTCTCCCAACACCTCCATAAACTGAGGCTCACAGAGGTTAAGCCTTGCTCAAGGCTATACAAATATGAAGTGGAGCCAGGGTTCAACCCCCAACCTGTTTCAATTCATAGTCCATGTGTGGTGGCCAATAGCATCAGATTATTTGGGTTTAGAATTTTAAGGGTGGTAATAGTATATGAGCCAAGTAGCAATTGTCCCCCAACTTTCATGACCATCAGCAGCAAGTTCAAAACTTAGATTTCTCTAGAAGGAGATAGCAACCTGGGAGACTTAGAAGGGCATACCGTCAGCCTCTTATTTTTCATTTTTCAAGTACATGCTCGGGTTTGGGGCAAGGGGTAAACTGTGAGAATAGCATCTTCCACCAAGTTTATATATATACAAAGTTTGAAATGCCTATATCCTTTCCTTCTCACTTCTTTTCTAGATTTTGATTGGAGCGGTCATTGCCATGGGCTCAGCCGACAGAGACGGCCGCCTACACCCGGGAGACGAGCTCGTCTATGTGGATGGGATCCCAGTGGCTGGCAAGACCCACCGCTACGTCATCGACCTTATGCACCATGCAGCCCGGAACGGACAAGTCAACCTCACGGTGAGAAGAAAGGCGGTTTGTGGAGGTATGTAACGTGAGCCAGCGGCAAGTTTGGGGGCTGGGTGATGAGATGCTTTTGTGGGACATGCCAAAGACACTTGAAACAAAACTTTAAATCAGTTTCTATATTATGTGAGGAAAAGAGCCGACCCAGCTACTCCAAATGTAACTGATTTTGAAAGTGCGGATTTTCACCCCACTGGTACAATTGCAAGCAGTCTTCACTGCCTGTCTTGTCACCGCAGTCATTAAAATGTCTAGCAAAGCCTGGGGCTAATTTGAGATGTGTATGCTCTTTGCTCTTTGGTAGATGCTAGTTGTAAGAACATTATGATAGTAAAAAAAAAAAATAGCTTTTGAAAATATTCCTCACCATGTTTACAAACCAAGAACCACAGCATTTTGATACCTTAATAAGACAACGAGGATGGAAAATTAGCTTCCACTGTAGAGTCTGATAAAAGGTAACAGTAAAACTATTACCCTGATTTAGAGAAATAGAGCTGTACACCACTCTGAGGAAACATAATTCATCTAACTCCAAACTTAGGAAACAGATGAGTTGGAATTAATTATTCCCTTTGTATCCATTTTCCCAACTTCATAAAAGAACCAACAAAGACATACTTTTAAAAGTCAGCCCTCAGAGTCATAATAGGATTCCATTTCTCTCTTCACCATCTCAACCCCTCAAAAAAGACTTATGTTTTAAGGGACATGTCTGCTACAAGCATCACACTATTTTTTATAGTCTGAGTACTCAGTGACATTGGGAATACAGTCCCAAACCTTACTCTGTGACTCACAGAAGCAGCACCAGCGATGTCCTGCTGTCGACCCTGCCCTCGCTGGCCTCTCTGCTCAGCCTCTGACTGTTCCTCATTCAGAATGATGAGTGCTAGAATTAGGAGGGACCTTAAGAGTGTCGGCTCCCTCGTGTTACAGATGGGGAAACTGAGGCCCAGGGGTACGTAGCTTGCCCAGTAGTCTGCAGTGGCTCCGTGATGATGCGGAAACTCGTCTCCCAGGCCAGTGCTCATTTTTTATGCCCCTTTCAGTCCTCCTCGTCACTCTGCTACCATCCCAACTCCTGGGGAATTCAGACATTAGACTAACCTTTAGCAAATGTCGCTTCCAAACATGAGGAGTCCTTCCTATGTGTTCCTAGTATAACATATTTGAATCAGAGAAGAGGGCCACTTACTAATCACAGGCTGTCAGTGACTCAAGAGGAAAGATTTACTAGTCAAACAAAAAATGCTTTTCTTTTCAAGTCTTCTAGAAACTAGACTTGGAGCAAGGGCAGTCATTTAAAAGGGCAAGTCAGAAGAACTGTCAGCCCTCACCAGCAGAGACTGCTATATATCATGTATCATATGGAGGTTTTGCTAAGAGGTGCCATTCATCTTCAGAAATTCTTGGCATACCATTTGACCCAAAGAAGTAAAACACCTTGAATTATGCCTTATCCTTGGGCGAGATGCCAGAAAAAAGATAGTGTTTTCTTGGTTAACATTTAACTGTCTCTTTCCCTACGGAGTGATTTTCAATAAAAAGTTTGCTGTGCTATATGTTCTGTAACCCAAAGATAAATTTAAAAGATACCTGATTTATAAGGAACTACACTGAAAAGTACCAAACCAATGTACCCACATAATTTCATGCTTGCCTTGTCATCAGCTGATTATCACAAATTAAATTTTGTTCTCATCAACCCAAGCTATTGGAGTGTATGCCAACTGCTGCAAAAATGTATTCTTGCAATTTGTGGATCATGTGACTTCCGTGAAGATGCTCTTTGCTGCAGTTCTTACCAACTTTACTCATTTAGGCTTTCAAGTACATTTCAAGTGCATTTAATTTTTGAAAATGTTCTGCTGCAGACTGCTCCTGCTCACCAGGAAAGTCTCCAGGTTAATTCAGCCCACTCTTTCTTGAAAGCTTCATAGCATTGAAAATAATTAAGTTCAGCAAGATACTTTGATAGTAAAGCAAATGCCTAGAAATAGGATAAAACAGACTTTAAAAAGAAAAAGAAAAAAAGGCATAGGAAGACAGCCTTTCCTCATAGCTGCCACTTCTCCAACAGTGAGAAGGAACAACTACAAATGGATATGACAGCGGAGATGCCTTTTCAAAGGTTGTTGTTATCATTATTGTTATGCTTTCCTAAGCAAAGGCAGTGGGAGGCGCAAGCCTGGCTTAGGATGAGGTGGTTGAAAGCTGAAGGGACGTGAGCAATCAACCGTGAAGAGACAGAAGATGAGCAAAAAGGGGGCAGCGGTGCCACCTTCTTGCACAAAGGAGCGATATTATGGAGGAAGTGCTGGGAAGAAGGGAGGTTGCAGAAATTGTACCTGTCAGCCTTCTGCCGGCCCCGGCTGTTCAAATGTCCCTCCTATCTCAGAAGGCACTGGGCACTGGCTCCCCAGTTAATGCTCAGGAAAAAACAAACAAACAAATCCACATGCATTATGAGAGATACAGACTAGTTAGTTACACTGGGCAAAAATTAAAATAATATAAAAACCTGCTCCAAATATTAAAATATAAGAAAGCACACATACAGAAGATAGAAAGACTATATTTTCAATTAGGCTATGGCAAGCTAGATCCTCAGAAATAAGAAATTGTGGCGTAAAGGAAGAAAACATCCAGTAATGCATCCGATTGAACAGATAATTTTACCACAGATCTTGTACCTTAAACGAGTTTTGAGAGATGTCTTATCCATGGCTCCAGCTCTGATATTTAGTTGTTTTTGTTTTTGTTTCTTTTCCCAAGGATAGTAGAAGAGTGCCTTTACTTATTACACTGAAAGTATAAATATTTATGTGTTTAGTAGCTCAGTTTTGAGATGTTCAACCTAATGACACATTATTCTGAATACACACTATTTACCTGAGAGAAGGGTGTCTCTGAGGAATTTCCTAAAGTGTAAATCTAGAACTCATGTGAAAGAAAGTTTTATGACTTAATCAAAACATGTTAGAGTCTGTCTTAAAGCTACAGCATCTTTTCTCTTACTCTTAAGGGGACGTCCAATTCTTGGCCTAATGCCGAGAAAGAGGTTTTCTTGGCAGCTAGGTGAAAAGTTTAGCCAGTGTTTAGGGAACCAGTGGATTGCCTGGTCCTGGTTATTACACTTTTTTGTCAATTCTAAATGCATTCCCTTATTCTTTGTCTATGAGCATGTCACCCATTTAAATAACTTGTCTGCCCTGGTAAGTATAAACCAGGAGAGCACAAACTCACATGCTGGCAGGCAAGCCAGCCCCTGTGCCATCAGGCACCCCGATGGTGCATGTACATTTCGACACCCCAGCCACATGTCCAAGCTGTCTGTGCACGTACCCCATTGCCTCCGCCGTATTTCAAGACATGTGCATCCTCAGTGCTGTCATCTTCCTGGGGGACAGTCCTAAGAAGAAGCCCAGGCACACCTTGGAAGCAGGCAAGGTCTGTTTGGTTACAGAATCCTAGAGTCCTGGTCTCCAGGTGTGATATAGAAGGAAAACAAGGGCTCCGGTTGAACAAGTCCCTTTGCCCTGCATACTCCTGACTCTACAGGTAAATGAGTAAATTAGAAATTTGCAAGAGACATTGGGGAGTGGTTGGAGCTGTGGTGACTTGCAAACTGCTTACCCAGTCAAGGAAGCAGCCATTGCCCAGCTCCAGCTGATCATTAGCAAATATTTCAAGAGAAACTGGAAATCCATATTTCTATAAAATCTCCCCCATTTTAGACCACTGACAATTAATTTTAGCAATTATTAAACAAAGTATGGGCCAACATTGTGCAGGAATAATAGATTGTCTGCTGACCAGGAGCAGCCCCTGGCCAAGAGTTGACTGTTCTAGTCAAAACCATCTCAATGGTTTTGCGTTGTTAATGATGCCTGCCTTCCCAAATGGAGACCTTCTCCCAGTTAGCACAGTGATGATTTCCAGTATGACTGCTGGGGGAAAAACAGAAGCTCAACATAAAAATTCATTATCTGACTTGAATAGATACTAAGTGACTGAATTCTGTATACCACTTTGCGTGTGAGCCAAAAGCACGAATCAGGGATGCTGGAAATTAGTAAATGTTGTAAAAATGCACATGGTATTTAGTCACTTTGTGACAGTTTGCTGTATTATTCTAAAACAGTGATGTTCATGTCCTATACCAGGAAGGGTTGCTGGAGAGAAGACAGTCTCAGTTAGACCTGAGGCTGAGTAGAAAAATGATGTCGAGTCAATTCAATCCCTCGAAGTCAGTCCTTAGAAGTCATTTCAACTCCGTGGTTTTATATGTGCTCATGTTAAGGACAAAGACTTTTGTTCTAGAGGTTGAAAGAAAAGTCCAAAGCAATAGAAAGGTATCCTGTTAATGCATTTGAGTCTCTCACTCACCCAGGGACCACTCATATTGACTTAGTTGATGATTTTTTTTCTCCCTCTAGAGCCTGTGGCACAGCCACTCCCAGCTATTTATTGCAAAGACAGATAATTTTTCTTTGTTGCTGCTTTACTGACAACCACCGCTCTCAACCCCCTAAAATATGACAACCAGAAAATAAGATCTCTCTTGTCACTGCCTATGACATTTAGTTACTGATTTGGTCCAATAGCTCAGGGAGATTTTCAATTTAGTGTTGCAGCATAATAATTGTTTGTTTTTCTTCTCCCTGACTATCTCTAATCACTTTATTTCCAACTCGCAGAAGGACTGATAAAGGACATGTGTTTCACCAAGACAATAACAGCTAGTCTTTGGATGATGTTTTCAAGCAGGGAGGGTACATTTTACAGGCAGTTTTAATGCTGGTAGAAAAGAGGAAAAGTCTTTGACATTGACCTTTCATTCTTTCATGACCTCCATACATTTCTTGCAGATGAAAAGCATCCATTTGTTTCCTTTTATTAAAATCTGATTAATTAAATCTTACAGAAAGAATCAACTTTATCAAATGATAAGGAGCAGCCTGGATCTTATTCATTCAGTAATTACAAACAAAAAATGAATACTTTTTTGAAAGGTCATTTTTAATCTGGGTATATAAATAAACGCAGCTCCTTTTTCTTTAGGTATCAGGGTAACAGAACCTCTCTTGTAATCTGTGTTTCTTCTTCCTGACTTTCTCATTTCAGAATGGAATTGCAACTTATAAAGTTAAAAGGCTTTGCTGGAACTTTTGCTAATTATTTTTAACTTGCTATATGAGACACTTTCTAGACTCCTAAATAGAAGACCATATCTAGAGACCCAAAAAGGAATTATTAATTGTGATTCTTTTCCATCTTACTATTCCTCTGTTTCATAAAAATGTTTTGAATACACTAGCTAAATTGTAAGATGGAGCTGAACTTATTTCCAATTACAGTATCCTAGGAGCCCACTTCAGTTCTTTTAATCAAAATACAAAAACCTAGGTATTAAATTAAACTGACAAAAGTCTTTCTGGATGACAGACCAACTTTCATTTTAAAAACTAGCATGTCTTGGTTGCCAAGTTTCTATCATTTTTCCCTGTAAATATGCCTGCTTTCTCGTGGAAGCAGTGGTTTGGTTTATCTGGTTGATAATGGAGTGTATTTTGCAATGATACAGAATGCAAATGAGCAAGCCCTCCCATACCTCCTTTAATGATTCAAAATTCATCATTCCTTAACCTGATATCAGTGTTAGATTTGATCCTAGAGTGAGCAAACTACTTTAAGAAGGATGTTTCCTACCTACACTTCCAGGCTAACAATACGACAAAATTAAGTAAAACCATGACTCTTTAGTAAAATTATGATAGGTCACTTTGTGAAGACACCCCCTGGGCTGTTAGCCCCCCCTTACAAGACTTCTACAGCAGCATTTCTCAAAGTGTGGCCTTGAAACCTCATCCAAGTTCCTGTGCCCAGTCTTCCCTAGGGCTACTGAAAAAAACTTCCCATGGGTCGACCCTAAACATGCGTATGTTTTATAAGTCCTTTAAATAATTTTATGCACAGTACAGTTTAAGATTCTGTCCACTTATTTTATAATTCTTTTTTGTTTTGTTTTTTTAGCTGAACCATCCTGCCACCTGTTGGCAGCTCAGCGGCAGCTCAGCTCAGGCCGGGAATAGAACCGCTGTTGCTCAGAGCTTGCACTCTTGAGTGAGCTCTTAACCAACTGAGCCACTCGGCCAGCCCTGTTTTATGATCCTTTTTGATCAATTATTATTATGCAACCAACAAGCTTGATATCTAAAACTATGCGTTGTCCTGGGGTTTGCAGTCTTAACAAGTAGAAAATGCATGCCAGTAGCAGCACAGAGGAAGCTGATGAGGGGTTTAGCCTGTGTTTGCTATGAAGGATGGAAGGGGCCTGAGACCTGGGCATCCACAGCTAGGATTATAGCCCTGCAAATGCTTTGCTGTCTCAGGGGAATAGAGGCCAGTCAATCGGTCTTGTAACAATGCTGGTGCTCAGTACACAGGAGACACTGGGCAAGACCCTTGCTAATTAACTGAGTCCCTGTGTATGATATGGTTTCCAGGGGAGCCCTGCCCAGAGAACGGGAGGAGTCCAGGCTCCGTGTCCACCCACCACAGCTCTCCACGCAGTGATTATGCCACCTACACCAACAGCAACCACGCCGCCCCCAGTAGCAGTGCCTCCCCCCCTGAAGGCTTCGCCTCCCACAGCCTGCAGACCAGTGACGTGGTCATTCACCGCAAAGAGAACGAAGGCTTCGGCTTCGTCATCATCAGCTCCCTAAACAGGCCTGAGTCCGGATCCACGATAAGTAAGTGACTGCTTCGCCAGCCTTTGAATAAGAGGTCTTGTTTTATTTTGTTCTGGTGGTAGGGACACTGGACAAGGTCAGGGGACTGCGCTATGAGCCTGAAAGTTGCAGGCTGTGGGCACAAGAAGGCATCCTTAACACTTACAAGCCAAATGTTGCTGACCTTTGGCTCAGGCAGAATGCAAGACCACAACTAATGCCTCCCCTCCCCAACTCCATACCCCCATAAAAGCTCCTCATTCATTTTAAACTGGAAAGGACATTTTTAAGAAGTGAAGCGGGAGTGTTGGTGTGAGGGAAGGCGTGCTACTGTTCCACAGAATGGAACCAGGTCTGCAAAGGCTCTGGGGGGAAAGCCATCCAGGCAGAAGCCTTGAGGTGGGAGGGAGTTCAGCGCTGAAGAAACAATTCCACAGAAGCCCGGTGCAGCTGCGGTATAGCAAACAGGGAGAGTGGCATGAGACCAAGAGAAAACAGCAGGCACCAGATTATGCGGGGCTTCACACTCCCCAGGGAAGAAGTCTGGATTGTAGTCTAAATCCATGGGAACCATTGGAGGGTTCCAATCCGTGGATAGAAATCTGACTTATTTTTAAAAGATGAGTCCAGCTGCTTGTAGAAAATGAAATTGGGGGAAGAGAACAAGAGTGGAAGCATGAGACACAGTGAGGAGACCACGTAAACAGCCCTGTGGGTCCAGAGGTAGCAGTGCCTTCCTCTAAGGCAGTGGCAGTGCGGAGGAGAGAAGCAGAAGGCATCACCTCCTGGGTTCCTCCAAATCTAAGGTTCTGTGAGCGTGCATAACAGGTGACAGTCGGAGGCCATGTTTCCCTTCCACTCAGTCATCTTTGTAGATACTCGGGTTTTCTTTTCAGCAATCCTATTCTAGAAGTCACTCAGTAGCCAGAGGAGGTGATAGGAAAACTTGTTCATTTTTCATGCTGAAGTCATTTAGCCCAAAATGTTGTGGCTAGAAACACCAGAATCAAAAGCATTAAGAGAATAAAATAATCGAGTCATGTTGTGGTCTTGAAATTCTTATAAATCATGGTTGTTTCCAGCACATGGAGTGGGAGGGAGGTGCGTGTGTCAAACAATACTCAAGGAATCAAATTATTAGAATGAATAAGGTAAACTTTTTATGATAAACTTAATGTTATCAAAACACCACCCAAACTAAATGGAGAAGACTGCCCTGGTTAGCTGTAGCTTTGACAAATTCAAGAGTAAAAATGATAGAAGCGTTAAACCTCGGTGAATATGTGCAGAAGCTACATTGCATCCATCTGAAGTACAATTTCATTTCTCTTTTTCTTCATGATAAGCTGAAGAAATAAATCCCATCTTTAAGCATACAGCAAAAACAGAATTCTGTCAGTACGATGGATTCACCAAGATTGAAAGGACACAAGACTAAAGATTTCCATGAATTATTTCAACAGCCTTCCAATAATTATTTACATTTGTAGAAAATGTTCGCAGAGAGCTTTTGTGACTCTTCCAGCCATTCAAATCATTCACGGGGGTAGGATACCTAAAGGACTGGAATAAAAATAAAAAGTGTAGTACCACAATGAAAGTGTTAAGCATGGATTTAAGGTCTCAGCTCTGTTTGAAGTGTGACAGCATTATTGTGAAACATATAGGAGACTCTGTGTGTGTGTGTGTGTGTGTGTGTGTGTGTGTGTGTGTGTGTGTGTGTGCATGCAGGCACTGACTACAAAAAGAAACCACAAATACTTTTTCTACTTCAAATAAAATCCATGCATGGGTAGATTTGGAAAACAACAGGTGCAAATACTTATAATTAACGTGAATTTTTTCTTCCTACCGAGTGACATAGACGGACCTCAAACAGTAATTCTAACCATTTTTAAAATGGTATTATTTTACATCACCCTGGAGATGGGAAATACAGTCTAGAGTTCATGATGTTTCCTGACTTCTTTTTTCACATATTTATTTCTTTTTCAATTTAAGGAGTTTGAAGTGCAAATTACCCCCATGCTCTAAGCAGCTATTACACTAATGGCATGTAGAGTTTACAGTATATAATTTGCAGCATGCACCTAAAAGGTTTCTGTTTCATACTTAACTTTTGTAATAATTTTAAACTCATAATTTTGAAAAGAAATGCTAGGTGCCTCATGAATGATACAGAGACATACCTTTGTGCCACACCTCCGTCGTCAGGATACCCAGGGTTCTTGAGCTCTCTGAGACTCGGAGAGCATGTTACTATCAGGTTCTTAAGTCGCAGTCACTCCCAGGCTGTGTCATTTTTCCCTTAGTGTCTTCCCCTGAACCCAAGTGTCTCAAACAACGCGTGGTTTTTCTCATGGCTGTGCAAGACTTTTCGTTGGCGGACAGAGTGTTGCTATGCCTTTGGTAGGTGCACTGTCACCTTTAGGCAAGGGAGTGGCATCGTTGATAGCCCAGGTGCTAAAATCATGCTGTCTGGATTTGAAACCTGGCTCCATCGTTTACTAGCTATGTGATCTTGAGGCAGTAACACGACCTCGTTGGGCCTCAGCTTCCTCAGCTATAAAGAGATCATTTTAATACCTGTGGGTTGCTGTGAGGATTGAGTGAATGAGTACATGGAAATGCTTAGACCAGCACTGGCTCAGAGGAAGCACTACATGTTGTTGTTGCTGTCTAGACCCCTACTAGGAATGATCTTTGCGTTCCATCAGCTTACTCCTCTTGTGTAGCACAGAGTTCACCCTGGCTGTCAGTTCAGTCAGAGCCCAGTGCAGCTAAGTCTGGGCAGCAGATGAGCATCTCTGAGAGCCAGCTCCTTCTCCCCACATGCTGACCTCCTGGAAACACAGTCTTCCCCACCCCCACCTCCCTGCAGCCCGGGTCAGCAGTGGGGCAGGCAGAGCAGTGGCAGCCATGCCCATCCCTCTGGCGGCGCCCTTGCTGAGGTTTCAGGCTGGAAGTCTCCCCAGAATTCACTAGCCAATCAACTAGAACAGGTACAGGAAACGTTAAGAATCGGATGTGAAGCGGTGCCTGTTAGAATGTCCCTGCAAATATTGCATCGCTATTGAATATATCAGAGAAGGGAGGAGAGATGAAGAACCTAAATGTAAACTTCCCCACCTAGCCGTCAAAAAAGGAATGATCTTCCAAAGGTTCTTCAGCTCAGGCAACAATTTTACCAGCAGTGCCAGATGTTGAACCAGTTGAGAACTTGGAAGGTGAGGTTTCTGGCTTATTGTTGTCTGGCATTTAGTAGGGCTTTTTACCAAAGCATCATGTAATTTTTTTTGTTTCAAAACATTGTTTTCCAAAAAAATTGAGAAGAAATTTTTCTTATATCAATTAATGCAATTGAAGAGCACACTGATTCCTTCCAAAGCCAGTGACTCGGGAGGCCACCTATCGTCTAGGAGTAAATGGATCTTAGAAGCTTTCTGTCTGAGGTGCAGGAATATCCTTCTTGGTTTAAAGTGAGAATAGGCAAGCTTCCTGAGCATTTTTATCTTATTATCCAAAATATTATTTTTTTTCAGACCTAAAATTGAACCCAAGGGATAAACAAATTGGTTTTCAGATGAGCGCCTAGGATAAGAGTAAACTATAACAGGCAATTGCATTTTAAATTCTTTAAAAGATTCAAAGGTTTATAAGCAAAGGTATTCATTGCCATATTGTTGATAAACAGAAAATCAGAAATCATGTTAGAAGCTTCTCAAAACCTAGAAACTTTTGTATATTTGGAAAGTTCAAGGCATTTGCTGCTGTTGACTCACTGTTGTCACTCTCACTGAGGTCTGTGTACACAGGATGACAAGACTCAGGCAGCCTTCTGACTCCGAGTGGATCAAACGCTTGTTCAATAAAAGTGTCCCTGTGGCCACGTTCAGTGGAGTTGTTGGGTTGGTCTTTGGGCCTCCCCAGTTCATGGCTGAGTCCTGGCATCCCTGTTTTATTACAGAGCTGTAACCTGTCCTTACAGGTGCTTCCTGCTTTCCTACCAGACGTTCCAAAGAGGGACTTTGGCACAAGTGATGACATAAAAGTGACCCTTAGTCACCTGCTTTTCTGTAATTTGTCAGGAAAGTTAGGTTGGAATTTATGGGGTAGACATACGTGGGCAGCTTGGACATGAGTGATGGAGGCTGAAAGCCTGTTGAAAGCTGATTTGCAAATTTAGATGCAGACCCATAACAAGCTGTGAATAGCACATATTCAGGATAGCAGCCATAGCCACAATCTAAGCAGTCAACCATAGGGGAACTATCACTTCAACCCCTCCTTCTTCCATTCATATTGTCCTAATAGCAATGGTGCAATTTTTTGTGTCTTTATTGCAAACGCATTACCGATCAGCATGCTGCTGGCCTCTTAACAACCTTACAGCTCTGTGCGGGCGCTGAAAATCTTTGCTTCCACACGCATGCTTTCTCTGGCACAGGTTGGAGCACAGACTTGGTCATTGCTGACTTTCCCTGAGGCCTGCGGCAATCCGGTTTTCTAGGAAAGAATCCCTTATCTTTGGTGAAATGCCCGATGACTTTCTCAGTTCAAAGGCCTTGCTGATGTCTTAGGCTCTGGATTCAGAAGTTATTCTAGAAATTCAAAAGCTTAGCTGGCAGGTCTTTCATGGCATTTTAAGAAAAGATGAAATAAAACTGAATGAGCCATGAAGCAGGTTAAGATTTCTCCCACTAAAACTCACCCCACCAACTGTGCAGCCACTGAAAAGTCATTTGAACTTAGGGGTGGTACACATTAAAGGCAGAAGCCGAGGTTTCTGTGGTCTTGCCCTAATACAAGGAGATTTAAAGTAAATAAAAAGTACATTGGACAGCAAGCCCAAGCCTTACTCCAGCTTATCCACTAACCACTGTGTCCCTTGAGCCACTTGGTCTTCCTATGCCTCTTTCTCATCTAAAATTTAAGGGGAAATGGTCTGAACAGCCCCTTCCAGCTCTAAATTATCTTATGCCACGAATCAGCATGGAAACTAAGGTATTAGTTTAGTTTTG